TATGGAGTGGACTGTCAAAATCCAATGTTCTCTCAGCAAGTCTCATGTCTTCTTATTTGTAAGTAGATAATAAAGAAACCTAATAGCCAGAGTCCTACCTATTGTTTTCATGTGTCCAGTCAGGTTGTTGTTCCAAAATTTCACAAATTGCAAGCTGAGCTCTCTAATAGGTATCTGTGGGTCCTGCTATTCAGAGACCTAGACAGAAAGATCATATGATTTCTGCAGTTTCGGGTCAGCCTGAGCAACATAGTAAGACCAACATCTCTAAACAAATTATAATCTGGATAACATACAAATAGCAAAAACAAATTATACATGTTTATAAACCAAGAAATCCAAAGTCAAATGCCATCAGATTTCCTGTGTGATGAGAGTTAGGCCTCTGGTTCAAAAGATTTCACATTGCATCCTCGTTGGATAAAATGAGAAAACAATGACACTCTTGGATCTTCCCAGAGTCATAACTCTTAATAACATTGGATCAGAAATTAGATTTAAGCAAATAAATTTGATAGCTTCCAGACCATACCTCATAGAAGTCTCTGACATCAGTCACAAAGGATGCCAACTGATGAGAAAAAAATGCCTATATGTTCCCTGTATATAAAATTTTTTTTAGATTCAAAAGTTTATTGAAACTTACAGCTACATTTTGAGAAGTGTGCTAGAAGGTATAATTTTAGGGTGACATGAAGTTACCCAACTGTAGATGTATCATTGTTTTAAGCATACATTTTTTTTATTTATTATTTACTTAAAATTTCCACCTCCTCCCATCCTCCCATTTCCCTCTCACTCCTCCCCCTCGCTCTCGAAATTTTACAAATGCCTGCAGAAGCAGGACTAGACATGTTCATCGCATTTTCAATCTGGGTCAGGAGTTAGGGAGTTGATCAGAACTACATGGGTTTCTCAGTGCCCCGTTTTCTGAAGTTTGCTTTTGGGTCAGGAGTTCTGCAGTCAGTATGGAGCCCACCCTTGCTTGAGGCTATCACTTCTGTGAAAATGTTTGTCCCTTGGGTGTGTCCTGAAAATGGGGCAGCGTCAGAAGAGACCCTTGTCCCTAGCACCCTGAGCAAGCTTCTCCTTGTGTGGAGTTGTCTCCCTGTCCTCATGGATCCTCCAGAAGCCTCTTGACTTCCTGGTCATCCCTTAATCATCTTGATAGTCCGTGTGATTGATTTCCTTAAATGTTTCAACCCCAGCAGTACAAAGTTTCTTGCACTTTGGCCTTTACAATGGTGCCATACTCTGCTCTGTCTGTACTTTTGTTCCCCTGGAGCACTTTCTCTGCCATTAAGGAGTGGTGAGTGTCTTGTGTCCTTCAGGCCCTAGTATCTCCCCATTCCTCTACCTCTCACCATCTTGCCCTGCTTGGGCCATTTCTCCAGAGCAAAGTCCCATTTTCCAGCCACTACACTGAATACAAATCATAATGAACCATGACCTTTGAGTTGAAAACAAAGATTTCTTGTTGCCTACTCAGGAAATAGTTGAGACTGATGTTGAGCCCTGATTAAGAAACTGATCAGAGGGATGCTCTTGCCAGGGCCTTAATACATTGCTGCAATCCTGGTGAGACCAGTAGTTGGCTGCTCCTCACCAGGCAGTCGGGTTGGGGCTTCAACCCTGAAAGCTTTCATTGCTGTAAGCTTGGTATCTGTTGACAACCACGGCCCAAATCAGCTGAAGATGTTCCTGATTCCTAGAAGCAAAATCAGAGGCAGACAACCAACAGTGTGCTGACTGGCAGCCCATGCTGCTGCACCCACATTCCCCTCCTCTTTGCAAAGCCCTTTTATCCCCTAAGCAAAAGCAGGAGAGTGTAAACCAATCTTTGGGTCCCTCTGTCGGGTGGGATCCTGGTGACCTTTGATCCTGTTTGGAGTTGTCGTGTCTTTGCACCCCCCTCACTCTCAAGTGCTCCCCTTTCACTGAAGATAAACTCTGTAACTTTCTCACTTGGTGTCTGTGGTCTCCGTTTGGCACATTTGTGAGACGTGAACCAGCACTGGCTTCTGGTATCGGGAGCTCATGTGACTGATTGTTCAGCACCTTTCCCCCAGCACCAAGCCTTCAAGTGTTTTGACAAGACTCTGTTGCAGGGAAGGTCAGCACTGAGTCTCACTACTGTAAACCCTCTCCCATGTGGCTCTCATTTCTCTGAATACACAGGACAGTTCACCAACAGCAATCCCGGGGTACTCTTTAGACTTTCAGTAGTTACTACAGGCTAGTGACCCACAAGCTCATGCTTGCCCATCGCTAGAGGACTATTTTGAAGGCTGTGAGTCCATTAGGAGATAGGGCCTAAAGAGAAGAATCACTAGGGGCAGGTATGCACTGCTGTGGGAGATCCTTTCGCTCCTTCAGGCAATAGCCTTTAAGATATCAGCCCACTTGGGTATCATCTCTTTTGCTTTAAAAAGCAGTGGTAGCCATGCACTCTCTCTCTCTTGCTTCTGGATTCCGGCTGTTAGACTTTGTTCCTGATCTAGCAGAGGGCTGTTGTCTGGGACAGTGATCTGTAAGTTTTTCCCCTTATATAAATAACACTTTTATTAATCATAATTACAAACTGGCTTGGGACTGTTTTTTGATTTATGCCTTCATCTGGCGCCCAACATTTGATTTTAGAATCTCCCTGGCTTGGCTGCCTGCCACCAGCTCGGCTTGGCACAAGCCCTCCCTCAGCCACGACCCATGCATGGAGCCAGCGGTTCAATATAGAATCTCATGCAGTGGCTTTTCTTGCTGCAATTCTTTGTATTTTCTGTTAACATGCCTTGGACTGGCTTCAAGTTCTGTCCAGAAGGCAGAATTATGTGTCATTCTTATGGTGCTAAGGAATTTTAAAGAACCTCTTCATACAGTGACTGATTCGCAATATACAGAAAGAGTTATCTTGCATATTGAAACTACTGACTTTATACCAGATGATACAGAATTGACTTCATTGTTTGTCCAGGTACAAAATATAATTAGGAATAGGTTTTGTCCTATGTACATAACACACATCCAATCCCAGTTCTGCCAGGTCCTCTAGCACAAAGTAATGCAGAAATTGATCAATTATTGATTGAAAGTGTGTTGCAGGCCTCAGAATTTCATAAAAAAAATCATGTCAGTAGCAAAGGCTTAAAGAAAGAGTTTTTATTACATGGTAACAAGCTAAGGAGATTATAAAGAGATGCCCTATTTGCTCTTTCTATAATCAAAAAATGTTTCCTGCAGGAAGTAACCCAAAGGGTACTCAAAGGAATAAAATCTGGCAGATGAATGTGTTCCACTTTACAGAATTTGGTAAATTAAAATGTGTACACCATACCATACACACATATTCAGGTTTTCAATGGTCAACTGCCTTGAGCTCAGAAAAGGCTGATTCAGTAATTACACACTTATTGGAGGTTGTATTCATCATGGGTATACCTGCACAAATGAAGACAGACAATGGTCCAGCATATGTATCTAAGAAAATGAAACTGGTTTTTGCTTATTATAAAATAAAGCACATTACAGGTATACCAAATAATCCTGCAAGTCAGGCAGTTATAGAAAGGTCAAATTGCACTACAAAGGATACGCTGAACTAACAGAAAGGGATGGAAAATACCCCCCCCAAGAAATAGATTGCATAATGCTTTATTAACCTTGAATTTTCTTAATGCTAATGAGAAAGGAACAACAGCAGCAGAGAGGTATTAGATGATGGGAAAAACTTCTGAATTGAATTAACCCATATAATTCAAGGATGTTGAGTTGACAATGGAAACCAGGAGATGTACTACATTGGGAAAGGGGGTTTTCTCTTGTTTCCACAGGAGAAGAAAAGTTATGGATATCATCAAAATTAATAAAGATTTGCTTTGAAAAGGAGAAACCTCTTGAAAAGGAGAAATGATACTACATCCACAATGGTGACAATCATACAGGTGGTAAGCAAAGCTCATAAGGGTTACGACTGCTGGACAGCGCAGTCCAGAGAAACTTTCATTTCCAAGCTCTCTATAAAATCTGTGAAATGGTTTCAGGATGGACCTCACCCATGTGTGTTGGCACAGCACTATAGTATCTGATATAGATTTGTAGCAGACAGATGGAGAGAAAGCCAATACCTGTAATGTCAGCGCTTGAGCAGTAGAGGCGGAAGGAATAGATGTTTGAGATCACCATTAGATACATAGGGCCTTCATTCAATTACTGAGTGGGCCACTAGCCCTGTGTCAAAGAACCAAAAATAAAAATACTTTGAGAGAGACGCCAACCAGTCCACAAAAGTTCAATTGATCTTTTATGATTTTCTCTTTATTCTCTCTCTCTCTCTCCCTCTCTCTCTCTCTCCCTCTCTCTCTCTCTCCTCTCTCTCTCATGTGTGTATCTGTGTTTATTAGTACATGTATACGGATGCACTTGTGTCTGTGTGTACACATACTTTCATTTGTTGTGTATGTAGAAGCCACAGAAAAACCTCAGTGTTTGTTCCTAAGACAAGATCCTGCCTGGAAACAAATAAAACAACTAAAAAAAGAAGAAAAAGTTTCTTGTTTGGCGGCCAAATAGTGGCAAGAAACATCTTATGATACAGAGTCTCACTTTGCAGACCAGGCTGGCCTGGAACTCATAGAGACCCACCTGCCTCTGCCTCCTGAGTCCTGGAATTAAAGACTTGTGCCACCGATGTTTTTGTTGTTTGGTTTTGTTTCTTTGTGTTGCCCTGGCTGTTCTGGAACTCACTCTGTAGAACAGGCTGACTGCAACCTCACTGATTCTCCTGCCTGTGGCTCCTGAGTGCTGGGATTAAAGCCATGTGCCACCATGCTGGGTCATCTACCATGGCGGGTCATCTGCTAATGTTTGAAGTGAGTGCGTGATTTGTGCTGCAGCCATGGCTCTCCACAGCTACGTGCCGGTCACAGCCACAACTGGAACACGTGCAGAGTCAGGCCGAAGCTGCAGAGAAGCTGAAATGATAGCACCCATAGGATGGACTCAATCGCCCCTCTCCCTGGGGCCCCCATTCATTAACTCACTGGGTCCCAGGAGAGGAGGGGGGATGACACTTGTTTTCTCTTTCAGAATAAGAAGGCCTTGCTTTCCTTCACCACTGGGAGTAGCGACTCCATGTTCTTTCTTCACGGTATCCACGGGGACATAAACATCACCCTCTGGCCACTTCAGGTACCTTGTTGTGGGTGAACTACAGGGGAGTTAGTTAGCTGAACGGTCCTCGGAGTCCAAACCTTCCAGGCAGTAATCGAAAACTGACCCAAGGTGTGAGGAGGACAGGCCGGCAATGGTGCAGCTGCACCCGGGCTTCCTTTGGGAGCTTGTGACCCAGGCCGCTGGGGTACATGGTCAAAGAGTCTCTCCTAACCAAAGTGCACCCGGCCCTCAGCGTGTGGGGCCAAAACCTTGGACTCCCCAGTCTTCCTGGAATTATATCTGCAGCTCCAGAACATTTTTTTTCTTTAAAAAAAAGAAAGAAGTGGTGTGTGTGGGTGTGGGTGTGTGTATGTGTGGGTGGGTGTGTGGGTGTGTGTATACCAAAGGGCAACTTTGGGAAGACAGCCGGGTTCCCTTGTTTCTATCGTGGTACTGCGTAGAGGCTAGCAGACCATGGAGCTTCAGAGGTTCTGGTGTCCCCGCCTCCCATCTTGTCTGAGCTTGCGGGATTCATGCCACTGCCTTCACTTTTTTACATGGGCTCTGGGCTCTAACTCACGCCATCAGGCTTGCAAGACTGGTGAGCCATCTCCCCAGCCCTTTTATTCATTCATTCATTCATTCATTCATTCGTTTGTTCGTTCGTTCGTTTGTTCGTTCGTTTGTTTCCGTGTTTATTGGTTTTTCGAGAAAGACTTTCTCTGTATAGCTTTGGTGCCTAACCTGCAATTAGCTCTGGTACACAAGGCTGGTCTTGAATTTACAGAGATCCGCCTGTTTCTGCCTCCCAAGTGCTGGGATTAAAGGTGTGCACCACCACCGCCTGACTCCTTTTATATTTTTTTAAAGGGGGTGGTGGTGCAGTGTGGTATGTCACGGACTAGGGAAATGGCTCAGTGATTAAGTGTGTGATTAAGAGCAATGGACCTGTGTTCAATTCTCAGTACCCACATAACAGCTCACAACTGTCTGCAGCTCCACTTCCACGGGATCTGATACCCTCACACAGACATGCATGCAGGCAAAACCCCAATGCACATAAAATAATAATCTTAAAAAGGGAGGGGGATCTCATTATGTAAGCCCAGGGTGACTTGAACTTGTGGCAGTTCTCCGGCCTCAGTGTGTTGGGTGCTGGGTTTAAGGCATGGACCAGCACACCTGGCTCTCCAGGACAAGTTAAGAACTGAGTTCATTCAGCTTGCTCTGGAGGTGGGCTTGGATGAGGGAAGGGGATTGGAGAAGACGGTGAGTGAGGTGTGCAGTGTAAAGACTAAGCTCACCATGTCAAGCTGCAGAAAAATGCACATCCACATGCCCTGGCCCAAGCCACTGCCAAGGAGCAAGCGCTCTCCTAATGTAACAGAACTTCCGGCTCTTTTGGCAGAGGATCCAGGTTGGCACAGTTTCGAGATTTTATTCATTCAAAGGAAAACTTCACCAAGGAGGCTAAATGAGGTGACAGAAAGGGAGGGAGGGCAGAGGTAAGAGGAGGAACTGTGGCAGTCCCCCAGGGCACCTCAGTCTGACTGGATTCTCTCACTGGCAAGCCCAGATCACTCTTTTTTTTTTTTTAAATTATGTATACAGTATTCTGATTGCATGTATCCCTGCATGCCAAATTGAACTCAGAACCTCTGGAAGGGCAGGTAGTGCTCTTAACCACTGAGCCATCTCTCCAGCCCCCAGACCAACTTCTGATGCTTGTTTACAGTACAACCTGCCAGACTCCTTCTGTGACTTAATGACTTAACTCTGTGTTCTTTCTCTTGCAGAGTGGCATTCTGCATTTCTGTGGCTTCCAGGGCTTAGAACCACAGTTGTCGTACGGCATTGGCCACACCCCACCAGTTTTTCAGAGGCAGATCCTGGAAGGGTGGAAGAAGCGCCTGGAGACCATCTGGGAGGAGACGCCACTCGACTTTCCTCCGAGCAGCCTGTTTGACCTCAGCTTCCAGGCAGGATTCGTACTGAGAAAAGAGGTTCAAGAGGAGCAGAAAAAGAACAAGTTTGGCCTTTCTGTGGGCCATCACTTGGGCAAATCCATTCCAGACCAAAGCTAGAAAATACGATTTTTTTTTTCCTAACATGCAAGTTAAACCTAGTTATCTTTCTTCCAGCTTGCCTGACTTGTTTTTTTCCTATATTCCACAAGGATAGGAAAAGAAGTAGGTTCACCTCATACATTCTTGGATAGTTCTGTTGTCATTGAGTGTATGACTATGACTGCACAATGACCAAAATCAGATGAGGTGCCACAGGAAGCTTGGTATATGGGGGCAGGGGCTATGGAAGCTGGAAGATACTCCTCTAGGTCATCTATGCAATATAAACCCATCTTAGGGCTAGCCCTGGCTACAGAGACTCCAACTCTCCAGAGATTGGTTCCTTTTAATTACCTCTCTGTGGTTTAGGGCGGAGGGGAATTGCTGAAAGAAAACAAAGGTTGAAGGACCTACTTGTTTGCAGTTAGTAAGCTAAAGTCTGTTTACAATGCATCCAGGTTTCAATCACTGCGCAGTGACTGACATGCCTCCCAGGGGGATTTCTCTCCAGCTGTCTCTGTCTTGTACACAGCACACACAGGTTCTAGGAAAGGAATGTTAAACGGGTCTCTGTCTCATTTTTCCAATGCTTTTTTCTTTTTCAGAAATAAATGAACACACAAGGACATGGTGGTGCTTGCCTTTAAGCTCTTCAATGCTTAAAATAACAGCCCACTACTGAGCCGGAGAGATGGCTCTGCTGACAGTTAAGAGCACTTGTTGCTCTTACTCAGGACCTGTGGTTCAGCTTCCATTTGGCTGACACCTACATAGAAGCTCAAAGCTGTTTCTATCTCCAATTCCAAGGATCCAGTGCCCTCTCCTGGCATCTGCAGGCACCAAATGTTCACAGTGCACAGACATGCATGCAAATAAAACATCCATACATATGAAATAAGTCCAAAATGCCAAAACAAAAAAAAAACTATATCCTTCCACCAAAATAAAAGTTTGATCTATACAAATGTCTTAAGGGTTTTTCTATAATATTGTGAAATTGATGACAATCATATTTAAAGATCTGTTTTATTTTTATTTGTGTGTATATGTGAGTGTGCCTGAGGGTTTGGAGACAATGAGTACAACTGTCCACAGAGACCAGAAGAGGGCCTTCAATCACCCAGAGCTGGAGGTACAGGTGTTTGTGAGCCACAGGAAGTGGGTGCTGGAAACCAAATTCAGGTTCTCACAAGAGCAGAACATGCTCTTTGGCTACTAAATGATCTCTCCAGCCCTATGAGCACAATCATTTTAAGAGAATATTTGGATCTCATGACTGTTGGGATAAAGTTGTAGGTCTTATTATGTATGGCGAATAATTTCAACACTGTGTGTGTCTGTGTGTGTGTGTGGTGTGTGAATTGTGGGAGTAGCTAAAGAATAATCTCACAAATGTGAAGCAAGCATTCTTCAGATGAACTACATTCTCAGTTCCTCACTTTGGCAAAAAATTAATTTTTATTTAGGTGTGTATGCACACGAGTGTGCATGCCTATGGAGACTAGAGGATGAAGTCACAACTCCTGGAGTCACGGGCATCTGGTTGTACACCCTCTGATGTAGGTGCTCACAATTGAACTCCATTTGGGCCCTCTGCAAGGGCTCTTAAATGTTGAGCTATCTCTCTAGCTCCACCCCACCCTCACTTTAAATTCTTGAAATGCATCAGGGCATGTTGATGGTGTTATGACTATCATCCCAGCATTCAGGAGACTGAGGCTGAGGGTCAGAAGCCTAAGGTCATCCTGAGCTACATAATGAGTTTGAGGCCATCCTGGGAAACAAACAACTTTAGGTGCATCTTTTGGGTGCAATTCAATATTTCAATAGTGCACCCTCTTGCGGCAAATGGCAAGAAAACATACAAAGCTAGGTGGTCAGAAAATCTGCAGATCTAACTTAGTGCTGGATGTTTTGAATCCATTTTAACAATAAACCCACTTCACTGGTACCAGTAGTACAAGCATCAAGTTGATATACTCAGGGTTCTTTGGAGGAACAGAACCTAAAAGATGAATCTAGATAGATAAAGGTGATTTATTAGAATGGTTTACAGGCTGTGGACCAACTAATCCAACACTGGCTGTCTAACAACAACAGGACCAAGAATCGAGTAGATGTTCAGTCCACGAGGCTGGATGTCTCAGCTGGTCTTCAGTGTATGCCAGATTTCTGAAGAAACCAGCTATAATGTCAGTGAAGGAATGAATTTACTAGTGAGAGTGAAGGCAAGCAGGCAAAGAAAGCAAGCTTTCTGCTTTCATGTCCTTTATCTAGGCTGCCAGCAGAAGTGTGGCCAGATAAATGTGGATCTTCCCACCTCAAATATCTGGATTAAAAGTGTATCTTTCCAGCCAGGAGGTGGCGGCACACACCTTTAACCCAGCACTCAGGAGGCAGAGGCAGGTGGAGCTCTGAGTTTGAGGCCAGCCTGGTCTACAGAGTAAGTTCTAGGAAGCCAGGGCTATACAGAGAAACCCTGTATCGAAAAACAAAACAAACAAAAGGTGCATCTTCACATGTTAAATGATTTTGTTAAGAAAAACTTCCCTCACAGGTATACCCAGCCACTTGAGTTTTAGGTAATTCCGGATGTAGTCAAGTTGACAACCAAGGATTGGCATCACACAGGCCGAAGGAGAATCTCCTGGGAGACCATCTGAAGAGATTCAGTAACAAGTGGTGGCCATGTGTAGGTAAGGTGATGTAGCCTGAGCTGACCCAGGAGGGCTGCTTCATATTGAATAAATGACCATGGAATCACCTGTCCCTGATACTTACATGGTGGAAGGAGAAAACTGACCCCTGAAAGCCATAGTTTGATCACACATGTACCATGCATATGTGTTTGAAAGCAGTCACGCATGTGGAAACACACAAATAATGTAATAAAGTGTTGTGTTTTGTTTTGTAGCCCTGGCTGTCCTGGAACTCACTCTGTAGACCAGGCTGTCCTGGAACTCAGAGGTCCATATCTGCCTCTGCTTGAGTGCTGGGATTCAAAGCACCCATCGCTGTCCTGCTTTCATTATTTCAAGAGCATTGGGAAAGAAAGTGGAATTACAGCACACAGTGAAAAGGGGGTGAATGGATGCCTGGGGTGGGGTCAGTGTTTACTCTGACATTCCCATCCAATGGGCTGTGGATGCCTGGGTGGGGTCAGTGTTCACTCTGACATTCCCATCCAATGGGCTGTAGAGAAAAGAATGAAAGGGACAGAGCTGGGGCTGAGGGAGATGTTTCACACAGGCCAATAGAGAAAGCTGCCCATTAAGTCCATGCTTGTCAGATAAAGTGCTAAGTGAGCCTGGGTACCAGGAGAAGCACTCCAGGCACTGGGGTGTCTGTAATAACCCCTTGGGACAGGATCATGCAGGATCATAGCTTCAAGCAACTGGAAGTGGGCAGGGCTAAAACAGAGGAAGTGGGGACTGACAGGTCAGAGCAAATGGGGCTGTGGGTCCCAGCGGTAAGTCCCTGCAGGCTTCTGAGCAGGGGTGTGCCAAGGCTTGTTTAGAAAGGTAATTCTGGCTGGTGTGTGAGCAACCAAGTCTAAGAGACTAGGGTAGACTTGGCCCCCTCAGGGTGCCGATACAATAAAGGCAACCTTGTGTTTGACCAGTGTTACTGAAGATCTCTCTCCTGCCTGCCAGTCCCTGAATAACCACTCTGAGACTTAATATTAATTACAAACTGTTTGGCGGATGGCTCAGGCTTCTTACTAGCTAGCTCTACATATTTAAATTAATCCATTTCAATTGATCTGTGTGTCACCAAGGCCCTGTCTTCTACTCCGCCTTCTTTCTCCCTGTTTGGATTTTCCACATAGCTATATTCACCCCTGCCATAGGCAAAGCAGCTTCTTTATTAACCAATGGTAATAAAACATATTCACAGCATACAGAGGGGCATCCAACATCAGATCAGATCAAAGGTCAGGGTTCACAGGATTTGATGATGGATCTGAAGTAGCGGGGAGTCCAAAATCTCAAAGGTATATTGGCCTGAGCAATTGGAAAGACAGAGATCGCACTTGCTAGGATCTGGAAGGACCTTTTGGGGGTAGGAATAGGGAGTAGGAGGGGTGGGACAAGCATCTGCCTTCCCTCACCTCATATTTGAGATCTGCTAGGACAACTGACGTGAAGCTGATAAGTGAACAGCAGGATCCCAGGAACATATGTAGAACTTAAGGAATTTATCATCTAGGTACACACGTGGGTACCAAGTCGTTAAAGTGACGAAACTGGGGGTGCTCTCCTAGAGCTGTGTATGGAGGTCTGCCAACTGATCTCTGAGGCTCTTCAACACTTGAGGTCAAAATGAGTTTGAAAAAGGTGGCCAAGGCAGGCACAAAAAACAGAGCTCCTACCTCAACATTGTCCTAGAGTCAAGCTGAGTGACCATTGCTTGGGAGCAGGGATTTAGGTTGTCCCAAATCCCCTGTCCCAGTGTCTAAGTACTTCCATAGTTACAAAGTTTTTATGGTAAGAGAACAAAATTAAAGACCAAAACATCTTAAAAATACATTGGTGGAGACATCAGAGCGTGGTTACAGCCAGGAATCTCAGCTTTAGGCCTCAGTTACTATCTTAGCCCTTGGGTTTGTAGTGAACAGGGTTAGCACATTCCTATTTTGTGTTTGTTTTTTTGTTTTGTTTTGTTTTGGGGTTTTTTTTTTTTTTTGAAGTCTCTGCGCTGGTTAGTTGTTTCTTGTTTCATTTGTCAATCTGACAAACTTGAGTCATCTGGTTAGAGAGAACCCAAATGAAAAACTGCTTCCTTCAGACTGGGCTATAGGGAAATCTGGGGGACATTTAATTAATGACTGGTATGGCAGGGGGCCCAGCTCACTGTGGGTGATTCCACCCATGGGCAGGTGGTCCTGGGATTCTGCTCTTAAGTTTCCGTCCTGGCTGTCCTTCCTCTCCAGGATGCTTTTAGTTTTAGTGCTTTATCCCAGCAATAGAAAGCAAACAAGATGTCTGCTATCAGGAGGTTTGATTTGGCACAGAGGTGGGTTAGGAAGAGCTCTTTAGGGAGCTGAAGAAAGTCCAAGAGAAACTAACTAGGCTGTGGACCTGCAGCATCCCAAACTTTTCACAGCCGTTGAAGTTTTAACCAGACAGCCTTGACAGACACAGATTCTTCCAGGACTTCTTCACACCGGGGAGAAGGGGAGAGGACTGTTCCATCCTGAGCGCCAACTGAAGAAAGTGTGCCATGGAGAAAGTCATTGAGTGTGTCAAATACTGTAGATAAGAGGAGTCCTAAGAACAGATCTCTAAGTGTGGCCACATGGAAACCGCTCCTTGGTGATCTGCACAACGGCTGTTTCAGTAGAGTAGATGATCCATGCTGGGTGTGCATGGAGATGGGAGCGAAGGTGAAAACACTACGGAAGAGAAGTGATCCCAGAGAATCACTCACCCGCTGTTGACACAGGCCATCTTCTGAGCCAAACTGCTGCCAGCTTTAGGCCTTCTGCTGGGCCTGCTTGCAGGACAAGACTCACACTGGGCTGGGTGACTCTTCACCTTCTTTCATAGAAAGAAGTTTGTTATAGATTTCTAGGTAGGGGAGAGGGAGAGTCATGGCATTTGAGTTAAGCATGGAAATCGGCCATGACATGAGCTGCATGGCCAACAGGAGGGGAACTTGAGAAACAGAGTAAGGAAGGCGGAGTACTAGGGTCAGTGTGCTGCGGCTCTGGCCAGCATCGGAGAGACAAGGGCAGAAGGACAGCAAAAGGAAGTCCCACCTGGGTCAGACTCAGGCCTCAGAAAGGAGGCTGCGCTGGCCAGTTCTTATGTCATCTTCCCACAGGCTAGAATCAACATTCCACCAGACAGGCCAGGCGGGAAGCCTGTAGTGCATTTTCTTGGTTAATGACTGATGTGGCAGATGCAGCCCACTGTGGGTGAGTCCTCCTCAGGCCTGGTGGTCCTGAGTCCTCCAAGAAAGCAGTCTGAGCAAGCCATGAGGAGCAAGTCAATAAACAGCACCCTTCCATGGCCTCTGCATCAGCTCCTGCCTCCAGGTTCCTGTCCCATTTGAGTCTCTGCCCTGACTTCTGAAATGGGTGAGAGAAATGACCCTTCCGTTCCCCAGTTTCCTTTGCTCTGGTGTTTCATGACAGCAACAGAAACCTTAATACACACACAGTGTAGCCTAAAGAGAACCTGGCTCCCGTGGACTGCACTTGGGGCCATGAATTTTTTTTTTTACCTTATGTTTTAAGAAATTTATAGACTAATGGGATAACAGAGAGCCTTGGTGCTAAAAACAATTAAAAGGACTGTTATCTTTTTATTAGAAATAAATTTTATTCTTGAGAATTTCATACATATCTGCAATGACATATATCCACCCAAATTTCGCCCTCCAACAAGCCTCCCTCACAACTTCCTGTCCTCTATTGTGCTTGTGTGTGTGCGTGCATGCACTAACCCACTAGGTCCAATTAGTAGTGATGTCCTTGTATCCATGGGTGTGGGGCCTTCCACTGGAGCATGAGAAATCTACCGGTGGGAACACCCTCAGAAAGAATGGTCCTTCCTTCCCCCAGCAGCAATAACTGCTATTAACACCACAGTTAAGGGTGAGGCCTGAAGAGTACCTCCCCATCTATGCGAGAACCTTGCTGGCTTGATCTGGTACAATCTTAGCTGCTGTGAGTTCATGATTACCATGTTACAGGACTGGATCTTTCAGTAAAGGGAAATGGTAGCTAGCATACAAGAGACTAGTAAATGTTAACAGGTGTATATACTGTGAACCAGGAAATAAGTTAACTAATACATAGTAACTCTGGTGACACCCTAAAGCGACAGTTTCCTTTATAAATAAACACACTGGTGAGTGGTTGTAGAGTGTAGGAGTCAAGGCTCCACACAGCACCAAACTCTAGACCCCTTGTTTTTGTGTTTACACGTTTCTGTGTTGTGTGCATTCGTGTCATGGTGAATTCGTGGAGGTCAGAGAACACATTCAGAGTTGGTTCTCAATTTTCATCTTTTTCTGGGTTGAAGACTAAACTCAGGTTGACAGATTTATGAGACAATGAGCCATAGTGGTGGTCCTTGGTTTTTTTTTGTTTTTTGGAGAGACAATAATTATATGTACATGTGCATGTGTATATGCATACACATGGAGGTGCCTGCAGAGGCCAGAAGAGGGTGCCTATTCCCACTGAGTAGGAATCACTGGCAGTTGAGAGCTGCCAGATACGGGCACTGGGAACCAAACTGAGGCCCTCTGCAAAGTAGCAGGCATTTCAATTGCTAAGCCATCTTTCCAGCTGCCTTTGCATTTTGGCTATTATACCTTTTTAGTGCTAAGATTATTAATGCCAAATATTAATATCCTCTGATTTTATGTGTACATGTGTGGTGTTTGTACATCTGTGTGCATTGTGTGCATTTATATATGCAAGTGTACCCATGTTTCTATATGGAGGACAGAGGTTGACTTCGTGTGTCTTGTTTTGTTTGCTCTGCACCTTGATTCCTTATCAGGTTCTCCACTGAACCTAGAGCTATTTCTCCAGGACACATACACACACACACACACACACACACACACACACACACACATATATATCACACCTGGTTTTTCTGGGGTGGTAGGATCAACTCAGTTCCTCATCCTCTGGCTTACCTTGAGATCACAGAGATCCACGTGCTTCTGCCTCCCCTGTGCTGGGATTAAAGGCATGTGCCACCATGTCCTACTAAGGCAGTCTGAAGTTGTTCTTTATATACTATATTCATGATATCCTTATATCACCTATATTACTAATTTGTTTTTCTTTGATTCACCCGTTCCCACAAGATCTGGTTAGTGAACACATTATTTTTCAAGATGTTGAACTGAAACCAGGGAATTGTATATTTGAGTGAACACTCTTATAAGCTACATGCTGAGTCCCTCACACATGAACCCTTAGGACTATCTGCATATCTCATGGAGATCGCTGAAATCTACCAATAGCTAGCTGTGCTTGGTACACTCTGATACAAAGATCAGTTCATACAAGCTGAAGCAACTAGAATAGAGAGAGAGATGGCCTCTGAGTGAAGAGCTAAAGAAGATGCTGGTTTTCACTGAGAGGCTCTCTGTGTGTATCTACATATACAATAAATATGAACAACTAAAGAGAAATTTACTGAGTATTCTGCCTGGGGAAAAGATAGGTACAAAATAACAACTCAAAAGGTTCCTTCCTCTGCTTCCCATCACCTCCCTAATGGTCTCCAGTCTCAGCCACTTCCCCACACTGCAGATACATTCAGGCCAACACAAAGTCTGAGGAAGAAAGATGGCAACCCACTACAAAATGAAAACTTTCAATATTTTATTTTTGACTGAAGCTGTTTACAGAAATATAATTGCGAGTATACAAATGTTCCAATAGAAGCAAAATATCTTTTTAATATTTAACAAGTTATCACAGATAGCTAAAAACATAGATGCAAATGAAATTCCCCCAGAGAAGAAACTAAGAATATCTGGTGTCAGTGCTCTGAAATTCCAACTATGAAGCCATTACACAAATGTCACTCTTACATCATTGCAGGACAATGCAAGAAGGCAGGTCAGTGGTTGATCAGTGTGCTCAAGCAGATAAAATTAAACTCAAAATGGCAGAATGGCAGCTAAATCACTTGAGAACAAGTTAATGAAATATTCCAAGTTACTCATTAAAACACGAAGTAAAAAGAGCGTGAAACGCAGTCAAGTGGCCAGGAAAGCAGCAAGCACTTGGAGCTTATCCTTGAAAAGAACAAGGTGAGCAGGTACAGTTTATAGACAGAAGGAGTTAGTTCAATTGCACTGCAGAAGGTCTCTACTGAGTAAAATCATGATCACTCTGGGGCAGGACTGCTCCTTTTTCCTTCTCTAGTCTCTCTCTTTTTGCACTAGGGATTGCACCCACCTTAGGTTATAACTACCTAGCTCTAACTCCAGCCGGACAGGCTTTTATTGGTCACAGAAGTTTGATTCTAAACCCACTCTCAACATCCTGAGGCTCATTAGCTAAAATGGCAGCTAACAGGCCACCCCTACAAATCATATGTATTCCTCCTGGGATGGGCTCTGGTGGGGGAGATCAGTGTGAAAGAGCAGGTAGGGTGACATGGTTGAATGCAGGATTTTTAAGGAAGTATTACAAATGGGGGCTGAATAGATTGTGTAGAATGCTCTGGGTCCAGCAACAGATGACATAATTAGGAGGGGAAGAGAGGACGTCTCTAGAACATCTCAGCAGTTTGCCTACGTACTTTCCAGCATCAGTTTGTGGAGGAAGCCACTTAGTACTGCTGTGTTGGACAGAGAGCAGTGATCCTCAGAAAGCAAGTATTCATGGTTTATTCTGAAAAGGGAATCCTTCTTCATGAGCTACCTCACCAGTGACTTGTAAACAGTGGAAGGAAGATTAATGATGGAAGTACTGAATTATAAAGGAAAAATATGAATAAACCTGCTTATTTGTAGGATGCACACAACTGAGATGGAGGAAACACCCAAGTTATAAAATGTACTATCTTAGCATTCTGTGAAGTACTTCACCTGAAGCGTGAGTACCAAAGAGAACCATTACTCTACTGCAGCATTCAAATGTCAAATAAGCTACTTGATAGGAATCTTCATCAACTCATAAAAGAAATTAAACAAGGTGCTATGTTGGCCTGGCCAGCCATCTGATTTACTATCGCAGATACAAGACAATGATACGGAATGGTGACTCTGTTCTGAAAGCTAGTCTAGCCAGAGCAGAACCATAGTCTGCTGATAAAGTAAGAGACAATGAAGAGAGAGCTTATATTACCCTGCCCACAACGTACCCATATTATGCATAAACAGGAGACTGTAGCACCCATCAATTATTTTAGCTAAGTAAATGTCACAACAACTAAAGAAAAAACAGACCATTGCACCTATATATTGAAATCAGTTAATGTAAACTTTTTAGTCAGTGGTAGAAAAATGCCAAACCAAGTTAAATGAATTATCAGTAACTATACTATACATACATAAAACATATGCATTTTCTTAGGCAGTACTAAGAATGAATTACCACTGCTGATAAATGATCACAGAATACCAGGTGAGGCTGAATATACATAAAGAAGAAAGAATCTCACTTTTACTAGGCTCTGAAGCTCAGGTGAATCAGACTCAATTGAGGACTTGGGTCAGACGGACTGCGGGGCCCCATTTCAGATGTAACTCAGCAAGACTGGGCTATAGCCCAAGAATATGCACCTCTAGCTGGCTTCCTGCTCACTGACTAGCTGCTGGATGGAGGACCATACTGGTCTGCATTCACCACATGGATACAAACTATTACAGCCTTCTTATAAGATACACAGGAAGGGGAATGGTTCTAAGTAGTTCTCAATATACTCAACAGCTAGTCAAAGGTTTACTATGGTTTGTTAGAGTGGAGTCATTTCCCTGCACTACATGTCAAAGTCTTAAGCATCCTTTAGAAAACAGCAATTCCACACTTGCTCCAGGTTACTTTAAAAAGCCATCATCTAACACATCAAGCCAACTATCTAAAATAAGAACGGATGCAGTGCTCTGAAGAGTTAAGATGTATTCTTGGCTTTCTTTGGAATGGTTAAAGTGCACAATGGGGTATTAAGAATATTGCATAAAAGTTTGCCATCTTCAGTCTTCAGTCCACCAACAATCACAAAAACACTTCCATGGGGAACACATTTCAAAGTTTAAGTTATGGCTGTCCTTAATTTGTGGCTGATGGCCCTTTCTTCAAGTGCCACCGCTTGGTAAGGTGCTAGATCAGAAACAGAATGGACAAAAACCAGGACATTCAATTCAACTGTATCTGATACTAAAGAAACTACCTTAGCTCTCCCAGGACTCAATGACTTCTTCCTAATTTTTCCTGACACTAAGTTTTCCAAGGTCAATTAACTAGAGTCCTGATAGAAAAGAAATATAATAAACTACTTTGCCATGCTTAATTAGACAGGAAAAAAAAAGAAATCAACATTATTCCAGGTCTTACAAAACCTATGTTTTAATGACCACTCTTCACGCCGTTAATTAGGACCAGAGAAGATGCTATAAGTAGTGCCTTCATAATATTTAATGCACACACTTGTGTGCATGGAATCACACACACACATACACACACACAAATTTTCATTATTGTTCAGGTAAGACCCAGATACTAATTTGCTGGAATGAGAAAATTGGAGTTAATTCATGTAAGCCACAACAGCATTGGGACCTGTTGAAATCAGTTATTCATATTTTTTGGCAACAGTGAAAGGTGGAATTATAAGAAGGGTGCACTGGCATGGTAAAAAGGCACTTTTCCATAAACATTTAATCTATATATAAAATACAAATGTAAAAATTGTCTGAAAGAGCAATAAAAACAGGATTTCATTAACATACAAGGCTTAAGATGGCATGAAAACAGAGAGTTTAAAAGTAATTTGGGCGCTGGGACAATTGACCAACGATACTATAGAGAGTCAGTCTCCTGCACAGTGAATGCCACCGTCACAGCTAAGCACGAGTGACAAAGGTAGGCAGAGGGGAAAGCTCTCAGTATGTGATGGATGAGTGCTCGTCCTCTCGCTAGTGTGTACACCCACCTTCTGCTTCTCTCACTTTCGGTGGTGCTGGGCATCAAATTCAGGTCCTTGCACAAGGTATGCAGACTCTCTACCCTGAGCCACACCCCCAGGTCTGAGCTACTTCTCTAACACATCTGCTGAATCACAGTTTTTCTTTGTCATTGAGCCCCTCCACATAACCAAAAGCACGCAGATATAAAATAAACATCTCGCTTAGAAATGAAGCTACGCTCGTGATTCAGAGTAAAATGATGAGGCCTCCCCATAACTTTTAACTAGTTTCAACCAGTTGAAACTCAGGAAACAGGGATAGAAGAAAATTTTACTAGAAAAATTCTCAGTCTAGCCCCTGAGAATATGTGCAACTATGCTGAATTTAAGAAGTACTCAGTCATTTTGTTGTGGTTCTTATTTGCTGACAGATTCCATTTTCCCCAAATAAACATTTACAACAGCTTAAAAAGGCCAAAGGGGGCTCAGATAAGGTGTTTCATATCTCCAGGCCCAGTACTTGGGCAGCATAGTGCAACCTCATAGAAAAATCAAAAACAAACATTCAAAAAGGTCAAAATAAATTATTTTCATTCTGAAGGGACATATGCACAATTTCTTCCTTCTGTTTTTTTTTTTCTTTTCTGAGTAGATTAGCCAAAATTCTGGTAGACAATAAATCCACAATAATGAAATTCTAAACTATTATTCACAATACTATAAGGAGGTCGGGGCAAAGAAGGATGGGAAAATGGGAGAGAGGGAAAGAGGCCTCTCATTAATACAGCTTCTATAATAAACAAAGTTCTTTAAACACTTGTTCTAAGGAGATGGGATAGACAGACCTACATTGGCTAAATAACAAATTACATGTTAAAATCAGAAAAGCCCACAGCAAATCTTAGAAATTAATTATCTAAATCGAGCAGTGGTAGTGCACACACATTTAATCCCAGCACTCAGGAGGCAAAGGATCTCTGTGAGTTCGAGGTCAGCCTGATCTACAGAGTGAGTTCCAGAGCAGCCAGGGCTACACAGAGAAACACTGCCTTGAAAACAACAACAACAAAAATATCTAATTGTCTTTTTCCCTGGTGTGGAATGACAATAAGGAATAACAAGCACATAAATGCATGCACACACACATACGCTCATCCAAGGAGCGGGGTGGGAGAGAGAGAGATAAGCTCCAAGCATTTCTGTGAGTTGTTGAAAGCAAGAACTGAATGTAACAAAGGAATAAAATGTAGTTCACAGTTTATTTAGGTCCTTCTGCCAGATAAAAATTTAATATATCCTGATTACCAAGGTCTTTTCTGGCTCACTGAGTCTTCCCACAGGTAGCTATCAGTAACAGGAACTGAGAAGCTGCATTCTTAGCACAAGTATCAACCACTGAGCTAACTCTTCAATAAGAAGACACATACTTTTTGTAACCAAATCATATATTCAGAACATTGTACTTAACACACACCTTTTAGGGGCAAGGAACGTTTAACAATGTAAGAAAACAAATAAACCTCCATCATTATTGAACAGGAATATGGTAGCACAGCACAGCCCTTGTATAAATAACCACAGAAGTGATGAGACTAAAAATAGGGGTTTCTGCCTCCATCCACTCAAACCACTACAGTTCAGGTGATGTTCTGTTCTACACTCCGACAGTTTAAGACAGAAATTGGTCCCAGTGACTCGGCATTGCCAATCAGCACTGTATAAGGATAAGCTTCTAGTACAGAACAAACAGAAGTCACCACACAAGCCAGACCGCTTGCTGCCACTTCACTGACGGTGCAGTCGCAACAAACATTCTGATTTCAACTTGGAATAAACAGATTTCCTGATCTCAGAAAGTAAACCAGAAAACTCAGAAGTCAATGTGGTTTTAAACTCTGACTTCCATCTTTCCTAAGCAATCTTGCAGTCTGCCTCCTCTGATGCTCCAGATAGCACACTAGTGCCCACTGTATGTTTTAAAGCTGCAGCACTGAATTGTGTGGCTGACCCCTCTCAGAACCTGAACCATGTTGGGTGATTTTTCCCTGTAGGGCATAGGGGAGAAGGGAGATACTGAGGAAAATACTTTTGGTTTAGAGAATCTATAAAGTAGTTCTGGCTATTAAAAGATGGAAAATGTTATTAAAATTACAAACATGGTACTTTTAGTGTCTTTATAAATAAAAGGCATAGGATACAGAAAGCCAATTAATAAGAACAACAATAATAAAATATTAAATATATAGTGAACAGAGTGGCTCATTCTTGTCAAACACCATTTGACACACTGCCTCAATAAGTTTCCTTGCTCTTTAACACCTTGCTGAGTGAATATCCAGCAAAAGCACAGTAGTTGCCTTTAGCTCACTAGTAACATCAAGGAACTGCCTGATGGAATGGCTACAGATAAACAGGCCATTTGTTTCAAAAGGTACTTAAATACTCAATAAAGACATAACAAACCCCTCACTGTTATCAGACGCCACGTTGTGGTAGAACATCAGACAAACTCACAAATTTACCACAAAAATGTGTGGCAAAAAAGAATAGTTTATATATGTATATATATATATATATAAATTTCTATATTTATGCCAATGTACTCACTCAGTACAAATAGCAAAATAGTATACCATTTCCTAAATATAAAATATAGCTTTCCAAAAAAATGAAACACACATTAGATATAAACCATCCAAAACTTGAACGATTGAAAACTGTTTTCAAAATTAAATGACCAGAGTAGGTCTCTTTCTAGAAAGTTCCCTTCATATCGGCAAGAAGCCTGTACTACTGAAAACGTAATCCAATGCCTCTCAGAGAGAGAAAGAAGGGCTAGGGCAGAAAAACAAGGACAAAGAGGAAACACAAATGACAAGAACAACAGTCAAAGAACAAAAGAAGATCACAAAAGAGGGAATCTGGCTATATAAACAAAACCAACAACACAGCTTCATACAGCTCAACAAATGTGTAGGAAGGGAGAGATAAGATGAAAAGAAAACTAAGGCGATGGAAAAGAAAACTACAGACTGGCTAATTTTTAAACACTTAGAAAGTAAAAGAAACAAACAGGACACCAAAACATATCAGCACACAGAAGCCACACAAGTTGGCCTTATGCTGCATTGACTCTTTCCACATGCCAAAGATAAATGAGACATAAGCATGTGTCCAGATGTAGGTGGTAGTGAGGAGCAGGCACCCCATGGGTGGCAAGAACACCCAAAACTCTACAACTAATGCTACAAATGTGAGTTCTGGAGTGCGTAATTTTGCTCTCTATAGATGTAACACAAGTTAATTCTTCCTTTTAAATCAGTGATATGACCCTGTAAAGCCCAAGGCTTTACATCAATTAAGTGACCACTTCGACTGTAAAGCACTGAGGTGACAAGTGAATTATAGTCACTGCAGCTCAGGGTGAAGTAACAGTTTGAGAAATTTTTGTTTGCCTTGTTTGTAAAGTAAAAATTTATACTGTTTTTCATTAGAGGGAAAAATTTGAAGACTTCAGAACAGCACCGTTCATGGAAGAAAAAAAAAAGAGAATTGTTTTTTCTCAGGAATCAACTCCCAATAATTCCTAAAAGAGTATTCCTGGCCCCATGCTGCAGACTGCCAGGTCACTGGATCAATGTGGCTGCCTTCTCTAAATTACTACAGGGTCATAAAGCCGTTGTATATTAATAGCTGTCTAAAACTAAACAGGAAAACAATACAGATGCATATAAAATGGGAGCACTAGCCTAATGCTGGATTAGAAGAAAACAGACTCAAATTACTCTGTCAGTTTAAACTACTGAAGGAGAATATGAGATCATAATGTCATGTATTATCCCCTTCATTCATAGAACAAAATATTTTTATGCAGTTATGGCTAAATCCCTAAGTAGAAAATACAGAGAACTAACAACTCTCTGAAAAATAAATTCAGTAACATTCCAGCTGTATCCAGTTTTAAAAGCATGTCATCTGCATGTGTGTGATGATGAGTTCTAAATACAGCGTTTTTGTAGATTATCCCCTTCAGTTTCTCCATGAAAACTGAAAGAAACTCCTTCACTTTGGCCAACATCCATGTGTTTTTTACATCAACAAAATCACAGGCTTACTCATTACTAAACTTTACTTTGTCCTAAGCCATTACTTGACTAAAATAATGCAGGGGAAAAAAAAAGAATGTAAGTAAACATGACAAATGTGATTTTCTAATAGCAATAATAACTGAGAGACCCAGTCTTGCACTTTAAAACCTAGGACAAAAACATTTCTGTCACAGCTGGAAAATCCAACAGATTCTCAGTTATCACTGTTACTAGAAACAAAAAGCACATTGGTGGCGAATTACAGCAACAGGCAGTATGGGTGTATTCTTACTGCCAGGAAATCTATCCATTTATTCAAATGTAGCTCTCCATAATAGTTCAATAATCTTCACAGAACAAGTTCTCAGGACATCTTGGAATCATTTCTTTCTTCACGGAATTTCTGGGAGGAAAAAAAAAATCACTACTTCACTAGGGAAGAAAGGCATTTGCAAAATGTCTGTCACCATGGATGATCCCAAAGGACACTATGCATGCAGGGAATCTTAACATCTTTAGTCTCTTGCTTTAGTCTAGTCTCTGGTGCTGGGTATTGAACCTAAGGTCTCAAGCATGCTAGGCAAGTGCCCAACTGAGATATATTCTCAGCTTATAATATTTATTATTCTACAGAATTCCCTCTTCTTGCTCTTCTTTCTCTACTATGACTGAATCTAGGGCTTTATGTGTTAGCCGGATGTTCTATCACTCTAAAGTAAAGAAGTTTCCAGTCAAAAGAAATGTCCAGTATTCCCGACCTGATCTAAGCTATCATTCAGAGTGTGCTCAAAGGGAATGTACTATTTTAAAAGGATAAAGTCTAAGCAGTGCTATTAACTCATTTAAATCTAAGAAGCCAAAATGTAATACTTACGCATCTCATTAAAAGGAACCAGTTAAATTGTTCCCTTGGCTTTGCAATGAGACAAGCAAATCGATCTTCTCCATGCTCTGACTGCTGCTCACAGACGAGGCCAGTGGGGAAGTCTCTGGCATTTGCTGAGAAAGAAGTGTTGTCACAGAAGCCTGACCCTCATTTTGTGCCTGGCCTGGCTGATTTATGGCCATCAGTTGATCCGGTAAGGTACCTGGTCCGGATGTTAAAAGCTGACTACAATCTGTAGAGACAATGAAATCAGAGACATCTCATTAATCAAGATCCATGAAAAAATACTTTACTTGCCAGAGGAAATTCACTCATTCTTAGGATGAATCTAATTTGGGATTCATCTCAAATAATCTCTCATTTGGGAAGCACAGAAGGTAAACCTCTAAATTCAATGTCAGCCTGGTCTACACAGAGAGTTCCTAACTCTAAATAAAAACACTACTTAGGTATCATCCAAGTCCTACGTAATTACCTGTCATAACAGTTAAAATTGATGTCTACTTCTTTAAAAAAAATTAATTGCCTATTATCTGTCCTTATTTTTCATTTTCCTTTCAAATTAATGGCTTAAAATGGCAAATACATTTTAATATACTACTATATTTAAACGTTCCCACTATCTTTGTGAGGTATAAAAAATTATTGCCTTTTTTGGTTTCTATTTCTGAGATAAGGTCTCATGTATCCCAGGCTAGTCTCAAATACACTATGAAGCCACGGGTGACTTTGAATTTCTGATCTTCCTGCCTCTACATCTGAAAGATTAGGACTACAACGGCATGAACCATCATGACCAATCTAAAATTGACCACTTTTGAAAATATGGACATTCAGGCCCATGAAGGCCAAATAACTTGTCCAAGGCCTCAGTCTTCAGTTGGTGGAATTTTACTCTGCTCTTAAAACATTGTGCTTTGTACTTCTTTATAATAATCTGGACATCTCAACTAAGTACAGAGAAATTTGTTTCTTACTGTTTTGAATGCCAAATAAGAACATTCCTGAAGTCTGTTGAGATGAACCAGGAGAATTTTGTAGTTGGTTCATTGTGCCTCCTGTAGTGTTGTGAAATAAAGTAGCCTGGGACTGGGCTGAAGAAGTGGCTCCTTGAATTCCAGGCATGTTGTTCTGAGCAGAATAAAGAGGAGACTGTTGCATGTCTTGTTGGTTTATACTGGTTTGCAGTGCAGACATGGATGCTGGAGAGAGGAAGAGTGTTACTTGCTGCTCTTGAGAATTAGGTGACCCTTGTACCAACTGGATCTGAGGAGAACTATGGAACAAGGAGGTCTGTGGTGACTCAGACTGTGCAGGACCTGGGTTCTGAAGTGAGGAAACTGTAGGCTGATTCTGAAATTGCATGGGTTGCTGCTCTTGGTTCATTGGGGCCATATTACTTTGTTGGTGAAAAATTGACTGGTTCTGCTGCTCCTGACTAGTCATTGGGTTTTGGCTTGGGCTAAATATCATGTTTGGTGGTGGCTGCTTCTGAGATGCCATTGTAGCCATGGCATTCTGATTATTGAATAAAATATTCTGCTGCTGTTGCTGTTGTTGCTGCTGCTGTTGCTGCTGCTGCTGCTGTTGTTGTTGCTGCTGCTGTTGCTGCTGTTGCTGCTGTTCTTGGGATGGAGAGTTGCTCTGCATGCCAACTATTGAGTGCTGTGTTTGGAAAATTGCTCCTTGCTGGCTTTGAGGCATTGGATTAGATGGAAGGGAGCCAAGGGCTACCTGAGGCTGAAATAAACCTTGCTGAGTGGATTGTGCCTGTTCCTGGGACAGAATCGGGGTTGGGATGTGTGAGATTGGAGGCTGCTGTTGAAAAGCAGCTTGCTGTTCAGGGTTTGATGTTGACTGAAGTGGAGAAATTGAGTTCTGTGCTGCAAAAAATGAAATCTGTTCTTCTTGGCCTACTGTGTTCGTTTGAAGATTATTCATAGAATTTTGGGAAAGAAATATGTTGGGTGACTGCTGATCTTGAGGAACTGAAGAGCCTTGTAATACAGCAATGGTATTCTGAGAGTGAAACATTGGAGGCTGCAACTGCTCAGAGGACGCTGTAGAAGTCTGACTGTGGACAATAGGATTTGGACTGTGAAAAATTGAACCTTGGGTTTCCTGGGAAAGGTTCTGAGCATCAGCGATAGGATTTTGAGGATGAAACAGTTGAGCCTGTGAATGAGAAGACTGCTGCAAAAAGTTCCCAGACTGAAGTGACATCATCTCATTCCCTTGCTGGAACAAGCTATTCCCTTGTTGCTGGGTACCACTATTCTGAACACTCATTATATTTTTTGTAGATGAGAAGAGATTTACTTGAGGCTGGTTGTCCCCACTGTGTTGCATTTGAACCATGGTCTGAAAGACACTGTTCTGAATTTGTTTTGCCTGTGTTCCAGTTTCTTCTCCATCTCCTGAACTTGGTGCCTGAAACATAGTGGAGCCAGGGGTTGTAACCTGTGGTGTGGTGGTTGTTGACGTTTCATTTCCTGAAACTGAGGGAGAAGAAGAGAACAACTCGCACTGCATTTGCATGTCCTCACTGGTAGGCAGTGCACTCATCATGTGAGAAGGCTGCTGGTACACTGGAGACTGCTGAAGGCTTCCATTTGCTGAAGCAGCTGAAGGATATAGTTCTGACTGAATCTGGGCAGCCGCTTGGCAAATGCTCTGCTGCATCTCCATCACCATTGCAGCTGATGATTCCATCACTTGCTGTTGCTGTTGTTGTTGTTGCTGCTGCTGTTGCTGATTAGACAGTGTGTTTTCAGTTTGTTGATGGACATTGTCAGCCCTCCCAGGTAGTAAGTTATCTGGTCTGGTATGAACTGCAGGCTCTGTTGAGGCAAACATTCCGGGGCTTACACTACTTTGAATTTGACTGACTTGGAAAATGTCTGCATTAAGTTGTTCCTGAACATTCTCATTACCATCTGGAGCAGAAAACAGAACAGAAGATAACTGTTGTTGTGCTTCTAGAACCTGCTGGACCAAGTCAACACTTCCACTGCTGCCACCAGCAGTGCCACCTGCAAAACTTCCTGCTTGCAGATGCTGAATAGTACTCTGGAGCTGGCTCACACTACTTGGCGGTGGGAAAATATTTGATGAGATCTGCTGTTGTAACGTCTGTGCTTGTTCTTGAAGCGGGGATGGCTGCTGCTGTTGTGATGCCTCAGTCAACTGTGACAAATTAACCACTGTGCCATCTGACTGTAATGTGTCTCTCGACTGAGCTTCTCTTGTCTGAAACTGTGTAGCCTGCTGCAGTAATGCATCACTGCTGGGCAGCTGACTAGAAGCAGAAACTGCTGGAAAAGTCCCAGGCTGTGAGATGTCCTGTGTTTGGATAGTTGTCAGGGCCTCTGGGTTATATGCCTTGGGCTGAAGCTGCTGCTGATTTTCATTTTCAGAAGGTAAGTGGGAAGATGATGGTGATGAAAAAGATGAATTTCCTGTTATGTTAGAAATAGTTTCTAAAGTTTGCTGAGTCGATCCAACTGTCTTTGTAGTCTAAAAAACAAAAAGTCATAAATAATATGTACATATACAATAACTACATTATTACTCCAAAAATTATTTCTAAGAATGCACAGAGCTAATTTTCTACTCTACACTACAATCAGAAATTGGTGTAAGACTGATTCTCTATGATATAATTAATTTCTGACGATCAGTACTGTAATCATGTATTGGTATGTATAGACAAATTAAGAACAGTAAGAGAACATTAATCCTATTAATCCTATGATTTGTGTATAACCAAATTTAAAATACTTCCACATTGTGAATCATGGCAACACTACAATGGGGAAAAATGAGTTAAAGGGGGAATTAAAAAGACAGGAGAGAAGAAGCCATAATCAAATGTTCCTACCTCTGAAAATGCTAAAATTAGTGCTTTAATTAAATCAACCAATTTTGGGGGCAGGGTCTTTCTGTTCAATCAGGTTAAACTTGAACTCACATCCTTGCTTCCTTAGCCCCCAAAACAACTTGTAATACCGTCATAAAAACCCCTCATCTCACAGGTATTAATTCCTCCTCTTGTCAAAATGTGTACTGGAAGTTACTTTGCAACAATTTTACTGACATATAAAGCACATGCTCTGAAAAGCAAAATTAAGTAGGTATATTCAATGAAAAATAAATGTCAAAGAAACAAGAAAGGCGAATATAGTAGTTTTCATATGTGAGATAAAGATATGGGGCACTAGATAACATAACTCACCTGAAAAATAGGGGAAGATCTTTTCTCTGCTGTTACTTCCATTGGAGTGACATCTTCAGTCTTAATCATACTGCTTGATATGAGTGGAGTGATCAGGGCATTAGGAAGAATGTTCACCTTATCTAAGTTACATCCAGATGTTTTCATTGCTACACACATAAAAAAAATTGCAAATCATAAACATAACCAAAAAAACAATCTATTTACTATAAGCCATTGTTTAAGCCAATTTTTTTGTTTGAAGTAGTCTCTATACAGTCTAGACTGGCCTCAAACTTATCATCTTACTGCCTCAGCAGCCAACAGCTCAAAGTATGGGTGTACCACTATACCTGGTTTAAATGTCTATTTTATTTACTTAAATGTCTATTTTTTTGATGTTGTAATGAATGATATATTTACCCTTACCCCATTTTTGAGAGGCTCTCATGTAGTTCAGGCTGATTTCAAACTAGATATGTACCCTAAGAGTTACCTCAAACTTTTGATCCTCCTGCCTTGACTTGGCACTACACGTGTGGGTCATTATGCTTAAATTGAGCCCAGGGCTTAATGCATCCTAGGCCAGCACTCTGCCCACTCTGCTACTTATCCCCACCCCTACCTGGCTTGAAGATTCTTGGTATTGGCTGAGAAGGCAGGCTTATTTATGCAGTATCACGCCAGGTAATCAAACCGAGGAACACTTGAAACCTAGAGAGCCCCCATCACTAAATAATAAGCTAAACAATAAGGGTTCAAATATCAAGCTGTATCCCACAAGCCCCATACTAGGTGTCACTGAACAAGGATCATGCTTAGCTCTTTTAGCATACAAACTAGTAATCTCCAAGCATTCCAATCTTTTAAAGGCTAAGATTATTGAAGTATCTCACAGTAAAAATTTAAGAAAACATAAAGTAATTTATAAATTTTTATTCTCTGTTCAATGTTTTAGAAACTTGAACAATTCGAGATGGTACATTAAATACATTTCTCACTATTTTTTAACCTCTATCAACCTCCACTTCGAATAGCTATTGATCTACAGCTAGGAGTGGCAACTATTACTTTTCTACTCTAGTCCCATTCCCCCACCCCATGACTTCAATTCTTTTTCTTCTTTTTAACTTTACTTGAGTTTGCCACTGGTACTTTATGGAGCCTACTGTTATTGTTTATCACAGTCTCTGAATTGATCACACAGCTAAAGCCTGATCCAGAATTTGAGACTCAAACCCTTATTACTTTGTTACTCTGGAAAAGAAATAGGTCTTTATTTTTTGTTAGTTTTTTTAATTTTTGTCTTGTTTATTGTTTTTCCATACAGGGTTTCTCTGTGTAACCCTAGCTGTCCTAGCAAACTCTCTCTGTAGTTCAGGTTGGCCTCAAGTCACATAGATCTGCCTGCCTCTGCCTCCTGAGTGCATTAAAGAGATTAAAGGTGTGTGCCACTACAAGTCCAGCAGAAATACATATTATTAAGACAGTTTTTACTAATATGCAGCTCATGCTGGTCTCAAACATTTCATTTTCCCTTCTTAGCCTCCAGGGTGCAAGCATAACAGATCACATGCCACTATGCCTAGCATCTCAGAAACTTTCAAATATTATTAATTTTTATTCATTTATTTTTCAATTTCCTTTTGATATTCTTGTTGTTTTAAAAAATATTTATTTTTACATTATGTGAATGAGTGTTCTGCCTGTTTGTAAGTATGTGTACTATGCACTGCTAAAGGTCAGAATCCCTGGAACAGGAATTACAGACACCTGTGAGCCACCATGTAGGTACTGAGAATGAAACCAGGGTCCTTTGCAAGAACAAATGCTTTTAACCACTGAGCCATCTCTCTAGCTCTCTGCACTCTTTGAGACACTCTCATCTTTCCCAGAGTAGCTTAAACTCAAAGCCCAAGACCTGAACCAATACCACTGCCTTCACTTTCCAAACACTGGGATTGCAGGTGGATACCATCACACCTGGTTTACGCAGTGAGCGCTGGGATTGCAGGTGGATACCATCACACCTGGTTTACGCAGTGAACACTGGGATTGCAGGTGGATACCACCATGCCCTAGTTTATGCAGTGTGGAGAGCCAACCCAGGGCCTCATCTGTCAGGCAAGCATTTTACCAACTGAGCCACACCCACAGTCAGAAACTTTAAGAGAAATAGGAAAATGTGAAGGCTTTCCTATTCTTTTTATTACTGATTACTTTCTTTCGTTTTTATTTGTTTATTTACTTTTGGGGAGAGGGCCTATGTGGTTCTGGAATTCACTATGTAGATCAGACTGACCTCAACCTCACAGAGATCCTCCTGTCTTACTTTATTACTGATTTCTTGTTTGATTCCACTATAAGTGGAAGACATAATTTCCCCCAGTTTCAATGAAACATAACTAGCAACATCAACAACAAAAACAAAAAACAGTTCAGTTTTAAGTTCTATAATTTCCATTTGGTTCTTTTTTAAAAACCTCCACTTTCCTTACTAAAATCTTCTGTTTTAATTTTGACTTTCATTACAAAATTCAGAATTACTTGTCGCATTAATCTCATGGTCAAACTTTTTGTTACATAGTTCCAACACTTAATATTCACATCTTTATCATTCCAGTTATCTTTTCTCATTCCAGTTGTAATTTTTCTTGGTTCATAATATGACAAATGTCTTCAAAAATTACTTCAAGACCACCTTGGATTTTGCTAGGAAACGAAAGAGCAAGAGAGAGAGAGACAGACAGACAGACAAACAGACAGAGTGCGAGCCTGCTATAAGAGTTTTCAATATGTAGCCACAGTATTATCTTGGGGGATCAAGAACTAAATATTATTACAATCATGGCTATTTTTAAGAAAGATCCTACAAGGATTATCACTGCTATAGAAATTTAAGTGTCATTCATGCCATATAGTCTTCATCATGAAAGTATTGCTAATTAAATTTCCACAAAGCATTCTGGCTCAGCACTAAAGCTTGAGAATCATAAAATATAAGCTATTTGTTAAAAAAAAATTCCTAGTTCTGAAGTTATTACTTCCTTTTAATATAGAACTACTTACTTTGCTTATGATGACAAATTTAAAGTCTAAACCTATAAAACAGTTTAGAGCTCAATTTAGTTTACATCTTCATAAAATTCTTTTACCTTACTTTTTAAAATTTATTTATTTTATGTGCACTGGCGTTTTGCCATGGCATTGGGTTCCCTGGAAGTGGAATTATAGACAGTTATGAGCTTCCATGTAGGTGCTGTGAATTGAATCCAGGTCCTCTGGAAGATCAGTCAGTGCTCTTAACCGCTGAGCCGTCTCTCCAGTCGTCCCCCACACCATTTTTTCCTACTTTTAATTGATAAGGTATTTATCAAAATAAGATCTGAATTATGAAAAAGAGTGCCTGTTTCATATTCAGTTTATTTGGAGGGGGGAACTAGTAAAATTTTGCTCAAATGACTAAATATTTTATCACTAAAAACACAATAAAAACCATTGCTTTTTAAAATTCAAAACATGCTCTTTTATGTGAAATTTCATGTAGGACTGGGTTGTGATCTACCTACTGGATCCAATTCTCTAGGAACACAGGTTTAAGGGTGGACTATAGTCAGGCACCATAGCTCACGCCTGTAATCCCAACATGCTGGAGGCTGAGACAGGAGATTGCCAGGAGTTCCAGGCCAGCCTGGTTAACAGAGTGAAATCCTGTCACAAAACAAACAGGACAGATTACAAACATACCTGATGTTCTTTAGTAATTAGAGTATTCATTTAATGAATGTGAATTGATTAATTAATTAATATTTCTTTTTCCCTTTGTTTTTTGGTTTTGTTGTTTTGAGATAAGAGTTTCTCGTGTAGTCCTGGCTGTCCCAGAACTCACTATGTCAACCAGGCTGGCCTCAGAGTCAAAGACCTACCTGCCTCTACATGGTGGGCTGACATTAAGGGTATATGCCACCACTGCCTGACAATGGCTCACAAAGATCTACAGAATGAAACTGAAACAAATTTTCAATCAAGCTATAAGTGACCTTATACAATTGTGTCACTTAATTTCTGAGTTCCGGCTTCATTTTCTTATGAAGAGCTCGGCATTGACTTCAAGTAAATGTTCAATGAACACTAGTTACACAGTCAAGCTTGTGGCCTTCTTTAGTTGAGTCTGATAAACTTCCCAGTCTTTTACTAATCTATTCTGGAAAAGGTTCATGGTCACAATTACAATAGCAAGTAAGGAACTATTCTACATACGAATTCTCAGTTTTACTACTGAGAAGTTTTATTATAACCAAGTTCATTATACTCCTTTATATAATTTAATCCACATGAATTTAAGGGCAGGAAAATGGGCGGGGGGTTACAAAACGGTGTCGTTATGTAATCTATACTTTCATAGGTAAAGCATCATAAAAGCATCATCACAACATACTGTAAACTGTGGCGCAGCAATCTGCCCTACCACACTGTAACAGACTTAAATCACTTTATATTTATGGTTTCCTTTGGACTAGGGCTTTCTGAGACAGTTTTATTATGCAGGCTAGACAGGCCCAGCACTGGCACTGTAGGCATCACACCCATTTTTGTTGTTGTTTTAAAAAGGTAGAACAGCCGGGTGGTGATGGCACACACCTTTAATCTCAGCACTCAGGAGGCAGAAGCAGGTGGTTCTCTGTGAGTTCGAGGCTAGCCTGGTCTACAAGAGTTAGTTCCAGGACAGGCTCCAAAGCTACAGAGAAACCCTGTCTCGAAAAACCAAAAAAAAAAAAAAAGATAGAACAGGGCAGTGGGAGGCAAAGGCAGATCTCTGAGTTAGCAGCCAGCCTAGTTTACAAAGCCAGTTCCAGTTCCAGGACTGTCATAGTTTCGAAAAACAGACATCTTAATTGGTAAGAAAATTATAAACATGTCAGAAGGAAGAATGGCTAGATCCCAGGGCAACTTTTCATATATCTACAGTTCATGTCAGTCTTTTTGGTCTTGGTAACAAGTACAATCCTTTCATAAAAAAAGCTTCATAATTTCTACTTTACATTTTTGGGGTAAGGGGGGTTGAGAAAGGGTTTCTTTGTGTATCCCTGGCTGTCCTGAAACTTGCTCTGTAGACCAGGTTGGCCTTGAACTCAGAGATCCACCTGACTCTGCCTCATGGGTGCCGAGGATCAAACATGTGCGCTGAAGATCAAACATGTGCACTACTACCAGCAGACTTCTGTTTTATATTTTTTGTGTGTTTATTACTTTTAAGGGGTTTGGACTTTGTTTTTGTTGTTTTGGTTTTTTTCTATTTATGTATTAATCTATGTGTATGTGTGGGTACCCAAGTGCACATACTATGGGAAGGTTAAAGGACAAAATGTCAGAGTTGGTTCTTTTCTTCCACCATGTGTGTTCAGGAATTTAACCCAGGTCATCAGACTACTGGCAAATGCTTTTATCCACTGAGTCATCTTGAAGGCCCTTAAAGTTTTTGCTTTGTTTTGTTTTGATTATATTTTTTTTATTTTATGTATATTTGCCTACATGTATGTAAGGGAGTCCACTACCATGGAACAGGGGTTAAAACAGTCGTGAGCTGCCACAGGGGTGCTAGAAATCAAACCTGAGTCCTCTGGGAGAGCAGCTAATGCAGTGCTCTTAATTGCTGAGCCATGTCTTCAGTCCCCCTTTAAGGATTTTTTTTTTTTTACACTTAAGAATTTAAAAACAGCCAGGCGGTGGTGTTACACGCCTTTAATCCCAGCACTCAGGAGGTAGACACGGGTGGATCTCTGTGAGTTCAAGGCCAGTCTGGTATACAAGAGCTAGTTCCAGGATAGGCTCCAAAGCTACAGAGAAACCCTATCTTGAAAAAAACAAAAAGAATTTTAAAACAAAATTCCTCTACTCTAACGCATTTGTTGTTATTTTGATAGAAGGTCTATGGTCTTGAACTTGAACTCATGATTCCCCTGCCTCCCAAGTGTTAGGATTCCAAGTACACACCATCATATTTGGTCTATTATGGTTTTGTTTTTAAAGTATACCAATACGCTAAATAAAAGTAGCAAATTGAAAAACAAGTCTCTGCATCAGTAAAGTCAGACAAATATTTATTTTATAATTTGGAAAACACCTTGCTAAGTATCAGAACACATCAGAGTAGACAATGCACTAAGGTTTACTAGTGAACACTTAGGATGGCCAAATTAGTATCTAAGAAATATCAGCTTGGTACCTTTCATGGCTTCTTCAAAAGAGCAAGGCCTTGCTGGACTAGATGTCTCCTTTTTCACACTGACATTCAAAGCTCCAGCTGCTGCTGTGAAAATAAAAGACACATATTTATTTCAATTTATTGATCCTAGTAAAGCACATATTCTTACTCTTTAACTGGAATATCTTCTCAGTACATCACTGACTTATTTACTCTAAGTCCTAGGTTGAGGTAATTTTTATAACCAGCAGTCTACCCTCTAAAATGCATTCATCTCCAAGTAGATAGGACATATGATCACTTACCAAAACAGAAAACTTTAAGGATCCTTTAAACACTATACATATTAGTAATATGAGATGAATGGAAGGCAGACATTTAAAACTTAACAGCTATATTAGAGCACTAGCAAGAAAAAAAAACTATTTACCTATATAAATTTATTTAAAAGTACCAACTCAAAAACATTTGTTAATATTTAAAGTTAAGTTAAAATATACATGATGAACATATAGCTCTATGATTATTCTTTCAGTAAAACTTTAGAAAAGAATCTTTACTAGCATTAACAGAGCAGTAAGCCTACTATTAAATCTTCCAGAACAGATTTTATGAGCTGAAGAACAAACATCATTTCTAAATGATAATGTTGAACTCCAAATAAGTAGGTTTGGCTTCAAATGGTAATGATTTTTATTACTATTGCTGAGTCAAGGGTTCCTTTCCCAGTGGTTCTCAACCTGTGCGTCAAAACCCCAAAGGGGTCATTTATCAGATATCCTGCATACCAGAAATTTATGATAATAGTGGCAAAATTACAGTTATTAAGTAGCAAAGAAATAATTTTATGGCTGGGGTGAGGGTCACCACAACATGAGGAACTGTACTAAAGGGTCAAAGCATTAGAAACGCTGAGGAAACAGTGTCCTAGTCAAATCAGGAGGTCATGTAGATTTAGCTTGATTGGCTGGCTACCAAGTCACAGATCTTCCTGCCTCCATTTCTCCAGTGCATGTGGATGCTGGGAACTGAACCTGGGTTCTCTGCAAGAGCAAACTGTTCAACAACACACAATCTTGAGGAAACTCAACTGAGAAAATGCTTCCATAACATCTGACTGTAAGGAATGTTATTAATTATTGATTGATGGGGGAGGGCCCAGTCCATTGTGGGTGGCTCTATCCCTGGGCTGGCGGTCCTGGGTTCTATCAGAAAGCAGAAACCCTAAGACAATCACTAATCCAGTTCTCCAGGCATGTACCACTGTAGTCATGCCATGGGCCCTGGCCATGGACTCCAGATCTTAAGCTTGTGCAACAAGTATTTACTGACTGAGCCACCTCCCTAATCTCTATTTTTTTAAATTCCCTTTATTATATGTATGTGTGTTCAAGTATGTGTAGATATATGTGTGCATATATGTCCATTTGTATAAGAGGCCAAAGGTAAACCTCAGGTATCCCTAGGAACTAACCATTTTTTTCTATTAAGACAGGGTCTTTCATTGGCCTGAAGCTCACTGATTAGGCTTGGCTGGTGAGCAAGTCTCAGGGATTCACCTATCTCACACTCACTAGCTCTGGTACTTACAAGCTCACACCATTACAATTGGTTTTAGAAAATGTGTTCAGGGAATCAAGTTCAGGTTTTCACACTTGCATGGCAAGCACTTTACCCTACAGACTGAATTCTCAAGCCTAATAAAAATGTTTTTAAAAGCAAGGCAGTAGTGGTGTAGCCTTTAACCCCAGTTACTTTTGTGCTCCAATTTTGTTTTCCTTTTTTCCCCCTGGATAAGGGTTCTCAGTTTCTATGTGTAAGAGTTCTGGCTATCCTGGAACTCACAGAGATCTGCTTGCTGGGATTAAAAGCACATGCCACCCTGATTTCTAAACCATGAAGTGTTTAAAATTATATTTAAAACATTGCCAGGGAGTGGTGGCAAATGTCTTTAATCCCAGCATTCAGAAGGCAGGCAACCAGCCTGGTCTACATAGAGAGTTCTGGAATAGCCAGAGCTGTTACACAGAGAAATCCTGTATCAAAAAACCAAACCAAGCCAACCAACCAAACTACCAAAACATTTATCCTAAGTCTAGTTTTATGTTATTACTTATCACTTCAAGTTTCTTCTTTCCAGAATGCACACTAGGGCCAGAGGAATAGTTTGGTGGTCAAGCATGTAATTAGCATATTAAGGCCCTGGAACCAAACCCAATGTGAGGGGAGGGAGGGGGTAATAAACCAGCCGAACTAGAGCATTAATAATTTCCAGTTGGGAGTTTCACCTCTGCATTTAAAGGCAGTCAATGAACAGTGGTCTTCACTAGGAAGTGAGCTGTGCGGACTCGGAAGCACTGGCCTTCAAGCACTGTCAGCTCTTCTATTATTGAGAACAGGAGGGAAGGATTCTAAGAGCAACAGTAGTATCTTGTAGCTGTCTTTTTAGAAAATACCCATCTCTAAGTCAAATTAGTAGAAATTCATATATACGGGTTTTTTACTTTTGGTTGTCTGGACTTCAAACTTTTTCAAAAGGACTAACTAGAAATTAATTATTCATTTTAGTTCAGAGTTTTTCATTTTGACGTACCTGGGTCTGGAGTGTATGTAAATGGCTGAACATCATGAGATCTTCCAGCATTGGTCACAACATATATTCCCACTGATACAGGCAAAGTTATATGTTGGTCATGATATGGGGGAACCTTCACAATAAGATGATTCTAATTAAAGAAAAGTATAAGAATCAAAAAAGAGGCAATGTTAAAAGAGAAAAATAAATACAATATCTGTACAACTTTTAAAACTTTGTTTATAAAAAAAAATGCACTTGATTTTTAGAGCCAGGTCTTGCTATGGAGCTCAAACCCGCCTCAATCTCTAGGTCTTCCTGCTCCATTCAGACTCCTGCTTTATCTCAGACCATTCTCTCCAACTGTAGTACTTTCATCTCTCTCAGTCGGCAAGTTCCTTACCCATACCCGGGTCTTAAACAAAACACCACCTCCTCAGAAGTCTTCCCTTCCCCGTCCATTCTTTTGAAGTAGTTATTCTTCCCCAAACCTAATTATATTTATTTTCACAACAGAACTTTTTCTCTTTCTTTCTATCTTTCTTTCTTTTCTTTTCTTCTGGTGCTGTTTTGATTTGAGTTTTTGTTTTGTTTTTCAAGATAGGGTTTCCCTGTAGCTTTGGAGCCTGTCCTGGAACTCACTCTATAGACCAGGCTGGCCTTGAACTCAAAGATACACCTGCCTCTGCTTAAAGGCATGCATCACCATTGCCCAGCATAACAGCACTTTTTAATCACTTCAAAGTACTGTTTTTTGTCTCTCTCAAACAAAAGAAAGTAGAAGCTCCACAAAGATTCGTGGTGCTCTGCCTCACAATCTGTCAGGATGCATATATACCAAACGCACTCCGATGTCATCTAAAACACCTTGCCTGGCTGGCCTGTGAGTCTTACTACTCCCCTTCAACCTGGGTTTACAGGTGTGTGCACCACCATGCCCAGTTTCAAGGTTCTGTCATTTCAACACTTTTTTCTCTCCCAGTTTCAAGGTTCTGTCATTTCAACACCTTTTTCTCTCGAATACTTCAGTTTTATTTTCCATTTAATGCAAGTTCTAGGTCAGTTCTCTAGGATACCAAACCTTACTCTACTCTAAGAAAATGTTTCACAGAAAGGCACTTAACTCCTCCCTCCCTCTCTCTCTCTCTCTGAAAAAAATAATAAATTAAAAAATGAACAAAACCACAGAACCAATGACTTATCATGCTATGCTTTAGTTTATAAGTTCATTGGCAGGAAGTCCAAGACTGGGCTGGGGAGATGGCTCACCAGGTAAAAATACTTGCTGAAAAAGCCTAATGACCTAGTTTGATCCTGGAACCCACAGAAAGGTAGAAGGAGAGAACTAACACCACAGAGTTGTTCTCTGACTGCCACATGTACACACACTCCAACACACCCTATACGATAGTAAAGTAACAACAAAATCACAACCCTCTAAAGACCTCTAGCATTCCAAATCTACCACCACACAAACCCGATTTGATACCTGGATCATATGGTGGTGTGGAACTCTGAAGCCATTTCTGACAGCTCTCGGTCTCAGCAGTAATGCTCCCCCACTTCCCCCTTGGGAAGCAAGGATCTAACAATTGCCCACACACATACAGAAATGTTGGGAACTTTCCATCATCTCCCTGAGTCCTTGTGAATGTTCTCCAAATAGAACTCAGTTATTGAATAGAGGCAAGATAACCCTTAGATGTTGACTCAGTGACTGAGGCTTTGACTTAGTCCCTGGGAAGGGGCAAAGTGACCCTCAGATGTTTTCCCTTACCTCATCTGATCTGGCAACCACTCACCAGCCAATTATTGGTAATAGCCCTTTTGAATAAGACAATCATAATAGTTAAAGAACAACCCCCAGACATCCCTTCCTTCTCTGGTTTTTCCCTTTAAAAATAGCCTGTATCAGCCATTCGGGATCTTCTAGCCTCCCGAATGCTGGAAGACCCTGTCATGACAGAATTAATAAAATCCTCATGCTTTTACATCAGCTGTGATGGTGAGAGATGGTCTCTGGGGGGCGACTCCTCCTCCTCTAGGGTCCAACAGTGGAAAAACAGAGCCAAGTCCATAAATCTGTCCTGACTTATCATGCACATACTACATGCCATGTGTACCCACACATACACACACACACACACACATCATACATATTTTTAATATAAATTTAATTATTAGGCTGAGGATGGACATGGCTCAATATTAGTGCTTGTCTAGTATGCATGAAGCCCTGGATTCAATCCCTGGTACTGGAGAAGCCAGGAATAATGATATATGTTTATGATCCTAACACCAGGGAAGCAGAGGCAGAAGTTCAAGGTCATCCTTGGCTACATAGCGAATTCACAACCAGCCTAGACTACATGAGCATTTCATCAAAAGAAAAACACCGGGGGGGGGGGGCATCCCATTTCTCAGAAGGGAAGGAAGAATAAAAAATGGATGGAAGAGGAGAGGAAACAAGTGCGAGAGAAGACGAAAAAGGGAAAGAGAATGAGGGTAATGGGGAGAGAGTGAGGGGAGAGAGGGTAAAGGGAAGAGAGAGGGAGAGAGAGAGAGAAAGAAAGAGAGAGAGAGAAGGGGAAAGAGGGGCGTAAAGGGGGGAGAGAGGGCAAGGAGGAGGGGGGGGGTAAAGGTGAGAGAGCACTAAAATAAAGGGGGATTATAGTAATCTAACCAATGTGTCAAAACCCAAAGCATGTATATGTATATAGTGAGACCCTGTCTAAATAGGTAACAATAACAAACTGATACATGTTCACAGCACAAGAAAGTATTCTACGGAGTCATAGGCTTCAATTACCTAGTAAAACTAGGTATATAGAATTAAATTAGAACTAGGGGTGCAGTGCTCTCAGAAAGAGCGGATTTTAGATCACAGTTCCCTTTTCCTTCAGGACAAGGAAATGAACTGGCAAGTCTTCCACGGTATCTATTCCAAGCTTGGTATTGCAAGGACCCCACTTGTTCCTGTCAATAGTGCTCCAGAGGATGTTCCTGTTGCTCATGGCAAAGTGGGGGTCACCTGATTATGTGACAGAATAAATAAAATACATAATTGATGAAGCTGCCCAAACAAAAGTGAAACTGCTCAGAATAAACAACAAAATTACTTCACACTTTTAATTTATACCTGATGGAACAATTCCATGTCTATCTCAGCTTCTGATTTCCAAGAGTGTTCATCTGATGGAAACAAAAACAGTGATTTAAAAGATTTTGAACTTTTCCACTCTGCAGCTTTAACTGTATTCTTATAACAAGGGAATATACCTTATATTCTCTACCACTTATATGCCCTACTTACCAGAAACATTTTCCTGGAAAATAACTTTAGTTCCTTTCAGAAAGTTCTTCCCAATTAAAAACACTTCTTCCTCTCCTTTCACTGAACAGCTATGCAAACTTTTCTTTAAGATCTCAGGAACTCCTGCTGGCTGAGCTGTGGATATACACAAATAAACATTCCATAAAAAGAGCCACCAACACTCAGTCTTATCCACAACTTATATCATGAATCCAGTTTTACGAGTTGTTTCTGTTAATCGCAAATTTGGGGGGGTTATTACATTTTATTTATATCAGACTGTGTATCCACCTGTGTCTCTCTCTGTGTATGCACGCATGTACACATGCATGCCACAGTGGGTGGGGGGTCCAAGAACAACCTGTTAGAGTCAGTTCTTTACTTCTACTATGTGGGTCCAGAGTATCAAACTCAAGTTGTCAGGTTCAATTCCTAGCACCCACATGGCCGTTAACAATCATTTGGAACTCCAGTTCCAGGGGATCTGATGTCATCTTCTGGCCTCTTTGGGTACCAGGAACAATGTGGTAAACAGTTATAAATGCAGACAAAACCACCCATTCACACTAAACTCAAAAAAATCTATTTTTTAAAAGGATTTATTTATTATTTATAACAATAATGATAAATAGTCCTTTTCCATATATGTCTGCAGGCTAGAAAAGGGCATCAAATCTCATTATAGACGGTTGTTAGCCAACATGTGGTTGTTGGGAATTGAACTCAAAACCTCTGGAAGAGCAGTCAGTGCTCTTAACCTCTGAGCCACCTTCAGCAGCCCCTAAAACTCTATTTTTAAAGAAACGAAAGTGTTTAGGTTGGTGAGATGGCTCTGAAGACTTGAGTCCCAGAATCCACATGGCAGAAGCCAAGAACCCTTTACTATATAAGCAGTCTTTGACCTTGCATGTGCACTGTGGAGCACACACACCTAAACACATAATACACATAATGCTCGTTTTACTTTAATGTTCTAAAAGCTCATGGCAAAGATGCTTAGAAATCCCAGGGCTTGGCAATTGCTTTCTGGCATCCTATTTAAATAACTTATTTGGGGGGGACACTTCTGGGAAACTAATCCAGGCCACTTAAGTGACACGATCTCCGGCTCAAATTATGTAAAATATTTTTAAAATTATATTAAAATTTATTGTATATTACAACTTATGGGAGTCAGTCCTCTCTACCATGTGGGTTCCAGAACTCATAACATCAGGCTTGGTAACAAGTGCTTTTACCTGCTGAGCCATCTTAGAAGCCCTCAAATTACTTAAATTTTTTTAATTTAACATAATTTTATGTGTTTTGTCTGCATGTATGTCTGTGCACCACATGCATGCACTGCCCATGGAGGGGGAATGGGGTATCAGATCCCTGAGACTCTGAGCTACCCTGTAACTGTTAGGAATCAAATCTAAGTCCTCTAGAAGAACAACCATCCTCTCTTCAGCCCTTTACAATATCAGCATATGATGATAATAGGGTCCTATAAAGAAATGGTTGTGTATCTTTTCAATGTATTTAAATATTTTTAAGTTCTGAGATGGATTTCTGGTAGCTCAGGCTGTCCTTAACCTCACTACTAAGGAGAGAGCTAAGAATGCCTTAAGAGTCTGAAACATATCTTGTCTTTCAGAACAGACTGGACTATACTCTGGCCGTCTTCTTGCTTCTACTCTTAGTTAACTAGGATTACAGTCTGTGCCACCATATTCAGCTAACAACTTTTTTTTTTTCCAAGACAGGGTTTCTCAGTAGCTTTGGAGCCTGTCCTGTCTTGGCACTCACTCTGTAGACCAGGCTGGCCTCGAATTCACAGAGATCCGCCTGTCTCTACCTCCCAAATGCTGGGGTTAAAGGCATGCACCACCACCATCCATCCAGCACCACTGCGTTCTCTTGACTATAGCTTTAAAGTGTTCAAGTTTGATATGTTCATGAGCTGAAGTATAAACATTAAATTTTACAGATACCTAAAAAATTGAGCTTAAGAACTCTTCATATATCTAGCATCGTCATATTTTCTTACTTACTACACAAAATGGGGGAAGAGGGTGTCTGCAATGTCAGAGTGGAGCCGTCTTTCCTTGTGATATTGACTCGAAAAACCAATCTGGCTCGAGTGCTCTTTTTCTTGGAACCAGCAATTCCTATTCTGGCTTCAACATCGGCATTCCTCAGCTTCAATATTCCTACGCAGTCCACCCTAAAAACAGAAAAAATGTACCAAGTGACACTGTTATTGTCTAAATAGTACAACATTTTGTTGTTTTTTGAGATGGTTGTGGATCAGGCTGGTCCGAAACTCAAGAGATCTACCTGCCTCTGCTTCCTCAGTGCTGGGATTAAAGGTCAGTGCCACCACTGCCCAGCAATAGTACAACATTTTAAAACAAGTTTCTTTATTTAAAAGGCTGATTCTTTTAATTCTTTGAATATATAATAGTCAAAAGGCCCCCAAAGAATAAATTTTAAATATTAAAGTTCTTATTCTCATCAGTCTTCGATTTAAAATGAAAAAACAGTAGAGACAAAATTATTCCTTAAATATGAACATATGTAATGGCCTTCAAGAGATTTATATATTTCAGGCAGACCTCTCTGAGTTTGAGGCCAGTCTTGTCAACATAGCAAGTTTCAAGAAACTCAGGCTACACAGTGAGACTCTGTCTTAAAAAAAAACATATATGTGTGCATGCATATTATATACTGTCTTATTTATTTATTGTATGCATTTGTTTGTCAGTGTATCTGTGCACCATGTGTGTGCTTGGTATCCTCGGAGCTAGAGGAGGGCATCAGATCTCTTGGAATTGAAGTTAAAAGGTCAGTTTCTAAGCAGCCATGTAGGTGCTGGGAACTGAAAACCTTATTCTCTAAACAAGCCATAAGTGCTCTTAACTGATGAACTATATCTCTCCAGCCCCTATTCTGTTTCTTTTAGAAAGGAAAACAGACTTTGTTTTTGTAGCTACCTCAGATATTAAAACAGAGGGAGTGAAGAGATGGCTCAGCAATTAAGAACACTGGCTCTATCTAACTAGAACAGAGGACAATGCCTCAGGTTCCTAATGCCTACACGAAGGCTCAAAAAACTGTCTGTTACTAAAATCTCAGAGGACGTGATGCTCTCTGTGGGCATCAGGCATGCAAGTGGTGCATAGACATACAGGCAAAACTTCATACACCTAAAGTAAAATGTTTTAAAAAAACCAGAATGGGTTATGCTTTATTTAAAAAAAAAAAATTGCCAGGCACACGCCTTTAATCCCAGGACTTGGAAAGACAGAGTCAGGTGGATCTTTGTGAGTTCAAGGACAACCCATCTGGTTTATAGAATTAGTGTCAGGACAGGCTCCAAAGCTACACAGAGAAACCCTATCTCAGTGGGGAGGGGGGGGATTAGTAACTAGCCTCTGCAGTAGAAGGTTATATAGGCATTAAAAACTGATAGCATTTTTGAAAATTGCAAAATATTCCTAAATTAACTGAAAAGCAGATTACAAACTAATGGCATACTATTATCATTATCTCAATTTTGTCAAAAACAAAACTGAACAAAACCTGGAAAGATAAACATTGTCTATATAGAGAACTGCAGGACAGCCAGGACTATACAAAAACAAACACAAAGAAACAAAACCCAAAAAAAATCCAAACAATAAAATTTAAAAGTTATTCATACAATTTTTAAAACATTCATTTGTTCATCCATGTTGGGGGCATGCATGCCAAGGTACGCGTGGAGGTCAGAAGACAACTTTTTGTGACTTAATACCTCATTCTACCATACAGGCCCTAGGATGTCTTCTCTGAGCCACCTCTGGAAGGGTATATTTTAGGGTTTTAAAACATATTTCTTCTCTGTTTTCTTTTGGAAGCAGGGTCTCAATTTCACTATGTAGCCAAGTACGACCATGAACTTCTGGCTCTCTTGACTCCACCTCTGAGTGCGTGTGTTACAGACATATGCCATCACACCTAGGTCACATTGTGCTGGGGATCCAACGTAGGGCCATTTAAGATACATCCCCAGGCCCCTGGCTATGTAACTTTTATTCTCAGTATTAATATTAAAAATTTCAATAGATAAGTCTTGATCTCATCTTCTAAAAAGCCGGCGTTCTCCTGAGCCTTCATTTCCCTGCTTTGGGAATTTTTAGGAAAGGAAAAAAGGGTATAATTTAGTCCATCACCATTCTAGAGGAACCCTTTTTGTCTTTTTGGTTGTGAGCCTAGCCTTTAATGGCCGAACCATTGCTATAGCCCTGTAGGAACCTCTTTAAAAGAAGAGTTTGTTCTATTTAAAACATTTTAGTAAGATCCTCAAAAATCAGCTAAACATGGTGACCCACACCTTTAATACCCAACACTCAGGAAACAGAGGCAGGTGGATCTCTGAGTTAGAAGCCAGCCTGGTCTACAGAGCTAGTTCCAGTACAGCCAGGGGTATACAGAGAAACCCTGTCTTGAAAAATCAAAGACAGAGAGAGAGAAAGAGAGAGAGACTCAAAATATTCTATTCTCTGGAACGAGAAATATTCTCCTGAGTATCATAAAAGTATAATAAATAATAAAAAGTATCGTAAGAACTAGAGAGATGGCACAGAAGTTAAGAGCACTTGCTACTCCTGCAGAGGATTTGGGTTTGGTTTCCAGCAGTCACGTAGGTTGGCTCGCAACTGCCTGTCACTCTAATTCCAGGAGATTCAATATCCTCTTCTCGTCTCTGTGGGCAATCGCACACACACAAAGCACAGAAACTCACAAAGGAATACACACTTACACATAATAAAGTAAATCTATTTTTAAAGTTTCCCATCAGCCAGGTGTGGTGGTACACAACTTTAATCTAAGGGCTTGGAAGGCAGAGACAGGCCCAGCCTGGTCTACACAGTAGTTTCACAGTACAGCCAGGGTTATGTAGAGAGATCCTGTCTCCAAAAACAATAAAATCAAAACTAAAACAAAACAAACAAAAAAACCAAACAGATTAAAAAAAAATAATAAAATAAAAATTTGCCAGGCATAGTGGCACACACCTTTAACCTAGCACTCAGGTGGCAGATCTCTGTGAGTTTCAGGCCAATCAGAATGATATACTGCAACCTTGCCTAACCTTGCCCCTAAAGAAGAAAAGGGAAGGGGGGGGAGAGAAAGGGGAGGAGGGCAAAGGAGAAATAGAGAGAAAGAGAGAGATTTTATTAAGTTCTTACGCCAGTGTCATGTTGTTGCTAGGATCGAGGCCGACTTCTATAACAGTGGTCCCTTCAATGTCCACTTCTTTGCAGGGGGTGGTATTTCGTCCAGTTACCCTACAGGCTTGGTAAAATCCGTGTGGTTTCACTCGACCAGAATCATTGCCCACAAACACCTGTAATACTACCGGTTCATTATGACCTTCCAGCTGGAACAAGAAAATATGTAGCATAAGCACAAGGTAGCATTTTAAATAAGCTCATTATAAACTCAACATTAAAAATCAAATTAAAGGCAGTGGTGGAACATGCCTTTAATCCCAGCATTTGGGAGGCAGAGGCAGGCGGTTCTCTGAGTTCCAGGCAGTCTGGTCTACAGAGTGAGTTCCAGGACAGCCACAACTACACAGAGAAACCCTGTCTCAAAAACCAAAATCAAATCCTATATTTAAAACTGGACTTCATCTAGTTTTAAACATAAAAGAAAATATGTAAACTTTTCTTTTCCTTCCTTTTTGTTTTTGGTGTGTTGAAGACTAAACCCAGATGCTCACAAATGCTAGTCAATACTCTACCCACAATCCAGCTCAAGCATTTTCTTATAAATAAAAACTGCAGTCAGGCCTGGTGGCACAGTACAGACAGGTGGATCTCTGTGAATTCCATGATAGCCAGAACTATAGAGAATCCTGTCTCAAAAAAAAAAAAAAAAAAAAAAGTATGCAGGGGGAGCTGGAGAGATGGCTCAACCATCAAAGGCCAGGCTCACACCAAAATAAAGAAAAATACTGTACCACTTCTACAATAACTACATTTTAAATTACTTTAAATGTCTAAGCTAAACTATCACAAAATCTATTTGTATAAGCAGATGGGAATAGATAAGCAATTGCTCAGACAGGATACAGATTAGATTACTTGGGATCTGCTACCACCACTGAATTATATTAATGGCAACGTCTTCACCATCAAAGGAGAATATATATGATCAATTATTACTACGGAAGCAGTTTAAGAAGAAAAGCATTTAAAATGACAGAAAAATGAAGTTCAATTCCAAAGACTGCTTCATGAAATCCTGGTCCAGAACATCTATGATCAGATACATGATCATATAAGCCTCTAGCAAAACTCTCATAAATAAATGTTAGTTCATATATAGACTATTATGTCTTATAATAAAAGACACTGAAGCCGTTGATATAAAAAATGCAAGAAAAAAAATTACAAAAATGTCACATCTTTCTGTCCCATTATATTGCATCTCTTTGCAGTAGACTATCATCATCAGACAAATAATTAAAGAAATAAGAAAACATGTATCCATTCTGGCCTCCCTTTACAAAATGATTATGTTTTAGCAGAGAACAGAAAACATGTAAAAAAAATTGGAATTTTTGTTTGTTTGTTTTTTGAGTGTCTGTTGAGTGAGTGAGTGAGTGAGTGAGTGAGTAAATGAATTACATTGCTCAGGGCAGTCAGTTCATTCATATCATAGTGAGGCAATTAATCTAATACTAATGCATTTAACTGTGTAAGTATTTAAACCAAGCAGAACTTACAGACAAATAATCAGATTAAGAAGACTGACAAAACTATTAAACTATCCAGCTAGACACACACAAAGCAAAACTTGAATTTCTCTCGTCTGTTATGTGTCCTGGATTTGAGGGACTGGTTGCAGATGGATCAGGGTGGTAACACTGATATAAATAAATGATCATAGACAAGTTTCCCAATCCTGAGCTTCAATCATTTCATTCAAGTATGAAATAAACGACAGTCCATGTTTTCAATGATAATATTCTTTATAATAAATACACCAAGTAATAAAAAAACAAGTCAAAGTTCTTAAAAGGTAATTCTGATAACTTTGAAACTCTTATTTTCCAAATTCTTATGTTTTGAGACTGGTACTCCTGGCTGGCCTGGAACTCTCTATGGAGACCATGCTGACCTCCAATTCATGGAGCTCTGCCTATCTCTGCTTCTTTTTTTTTTTAATAATAATTTTTTATGTGCACTGATGTCTTGTGTGTGTACATGTCTATCTGAAGATGTTGGGTCCCCTGGAAATGGAGTTACAGACAGCTGTGAGCTGCCATGTGGGTGCTGGGAATTGAACCCTAGTCTTCTGGAAGAACAGGCAGTGCTCTTAACCACTGAGTCATCTCTCCAGTCTCTGTCTCTGTCTCTTAAATGTTGAAAATTAAAAGTATATGCTTTAGGGGCTAAAGAAATGACTCAGAGGTTAAGTGTTGTAGAATATTAGTTAAAGATGTGCTACATTTGTTTATGCTGTGGAATATTTGTTTAATGATGTGATGTAGGAGGATCATCTGTCTATGTGTTACTTTCATTGGCTAACAAAGAAACTGCCTTGGCTTTCGATAGGAGAGCAGCTTAGATAGGCGGAGTAGACAGAACAGGATGCTGGGAGAAAGAAGCAGAGTCAGGCAGATGCCATGGCTCTCCTCTCCAAGATGGACATAGGTTAGAATCTTCCTGGTAAGCCACGACCTCATGGTGCTACACACATTATTAGAAATGGGTTAATTAATATGTGAGAGTTAGCCAATATCAGGCTAGAACTAATGGGCCAGGCAGTGTTTAAAAGAATACAGTTTCCGTGTAATTATTTCGGGTAAAGCTGGCCAGGAGGGCAGGCGGTGGGAAGTGGTCCGCTGTTCTGTTTACAGAATGGCTGCCCAACGTGGTAACTAACTCCACATAAAACCTAAGAGGGCTTTAAAAGGAATTGCAGACAAAAATATAGAGTTTAACACCGCTTTTTGCTGTTTGCTAGGACGTGCCGTAGAGAGATTTCCTGTTTCAGCAATAGCAGCAGAAAAAAAGCTGCACCGTTTTAAAACACGGCTTCCTGGGCCCTGTCGCCAGTGCAAACTCTGGCTATGGAGCACTTCTGGGCTCAGATATATGTGTGCCCGCCCGGGATTGGGAAGAAAGTACTCTGAGATCAAGCCAATGGCTCAGCGCTCCCCGCCTGCACCTAGACAGACAGTGAAATCAGGCTTAGGCAGGTGGGAGAGCATGGCGAATTTCTGCCACCATACACAGAGATGTTTCCAGGCTGTGCAGTGCTCTGCGTGTCAGATTTGGATGTAACTTGGATGAAAAGAGTTTCTCTGCTGCACGCTCAGTCTCAGAGTTAAACTGCTGACTGTGGCTCCTACCTAGTCACCCCAGAGCTAACAGAAATGGTAGTTCACCATTTTGAAATTGGAGAGAGGTGGAGCCAACATCCAGAGCAGCCCAAGGCTCTGCAGCCTAAAGGCACAAGCAGTTCCGCCATATTGGACTGGGCGTGGCAAGACCAGCAGTACCTGTTTTTGACCTAGGAATGTCACAGCTTAGATTCTTAAGCACTTTGTGATTTAAAAGCACAAAGCAAAAACAGACAATACAATAGGACAGATTCAGACACAGAAGACCTCTAAATGGGTCACAGTGTTGAATGAGTGTATGTAGGCTTGGGAGAGAGAAGAAAAAAGAATATAGAGACTAAAGTTAATGCCTTAAAAGGGGGGGGGTTTAAAGTCTTTAAAGAGACAGAGTACAGATAGTTATAGATTAAAAGAAATAAAGAAAAATAAGCCACGTAAAAATGGAAAATTCTCAGAGAGCCTGGATTCTGTGTATTATTGTGTTTTCTTTAAAATTTTTGACTGTAAAGGAGCTAAGTACAAAGAGACATTTCATTGTATGGGCTGCTAAGCTAAACCACCAGTATATTATTATAAAAGTATTATGACTGCAGAATTTGGGTCTAAGGACATGATGCTTTGAAAAAGAGGTTCTTCTTTTGTTTTCACAGAGGATGAGACCCTGTGGATTGCTTCTATCCCAATATGGTACGATACACGATACCCTCCTGAAAGGTTGCTGTGAACACACTCAAAAAATTACTTCATTCAACTGCCAAGTAAGATGAACCTAGCACACAGGTTTTACCATGAAAGACTTGATTAACAGTGTCCCTATACAGCAGGAAGAAGTTTGGAGAGAAATAACTGCACCCATATTCTCATATATTGTTTATAAATGTTCTTTTACATTTAAAGGGGGATATGATATAGATATGAATAATTTGCTTTGGTATGGATTTTAAGATCAATTTTGTTATATGTATATGTATTTCTGATCTTGAGTAAGGTATTGTGATTTTGTAGCTCATTTTAAAATGTAATGTATAATTAGAAATATAGGTTACTAGATAATCATCAATAATAGTCAAGCTTATAGTCACGTTAGTTAGATTTTCTAGATATACAGAGATATATTTCAGTTAGATAGGCATTCTTCATATCTTTCAAAGACTACAGAATAGGGCATTTAATGTTTTAATAACTTAGGGTTTTCATGACGATGAGACACATCTGCTCCTGGCAGTACCAATCTACTTCAAGAGGAAGATGGGCATCGAAGAGGCTTCTTATGGAGTTTGACAGCCATTTGGGCAAGAAACTGCTCTTGCCTGGACTGTTGCATAAACTGGACATAAAGAACCTGCAGAGAGAGGACTGCTGAACTTGTCTGAAGATGAGATGGTCTTTCGGGGTTCCTGATTTATGAAAGAGTCTACGAGACATTCTGCAGGACACAGCAAAAAGTGACTGAACTGCCTTTGAATTTTCCTGCTTCATGGAAATGTCTGCTGGATACTATGGGCCTGTAGGCTGAAGATGGATGCCCCAACAGTACAAAAAAACTTTGGGTGACTGTCCAGACAGCGAGATGTCTCTGTCGTTTCTAGAATTTTGAAAGTTGCTTATTTCTTGTTTACTTAGGTAATATTATATCCTTCTGGAGTCTTTGATGGAGTTGAAGAATAGTTAGTTATAGTTTTCCTTAGTTATGATAAAAGATAAAATAGATATAAATATTGTAACTGTAATTCTTGCTTTATAAACTGTTTTGTTATATGTAATTTTGCTATGTTAAAGTTAAAGCCTTCCTTTTTGTTTACACAGAAAAGGGGGAAATCTGTTGCTTTCATTGGTTAATTAATAAAGAAAACTGCTTGGCCTGATAGGTCAGAACATAGGTAGGCGGGGAAGACAGAACAGAACTATGGGAGAAAGAAAGCAGAGGCAAGTAGACGCCATGGCTCGCCTCTCCAAGATGGATGTGGTTTAGAATCTTCCAGGTAAGCCATGACCTCGTGGTGATATACAGATTATTAGAAATGGGTTAATTAATATGTGAGAGTTAGCCAATAAGGGGCTGGAGACAATGGGCCAGACAGTATTTAAAAGAATACAGTTTCTGTGTAATTATTTCGAGTGTAAAGCTAGCCTTGCGGGAGCCAGGCGGGACGAAAAGCAGGCCTGTCTGCCTCATCACTACAATGATGCAAAGATGTACTGCGTTTTTTTTTTAATATTTAGTATACAATGTTCTGTCTGTGTATATGCCTGCATGCCAGAAGAGGGCACTAGACCCCATTACAGATGGTTGTGAGCCACCATGTGGTTGCTGGGACTTGAACTCAGGACCTTTGCAAGAGCAGACAATGCTCTTAACCTCTGAGCCATCTCTCCAGCCCCTGTATTGCATTTTTTATATTGCATTTGTTTAACATTGTGAAGCTGTATGCCTGCCTAAAACACCTGATTTGCCTAATAGCTGAATGGCCAATCACTAGGCAGGAGAGGGATAGGCGGAACTGGCTGGCAGAAAGAATGAATAAAATAGAAGAGAGGAGGGAAGAATAAGAAAAGAAGAAGAGGATCCCAGAGGCCAACCACCCACTCGCACAGTCAGTAACAGAGTAAGAGAGAGGTATATAGAATTGAGAAAGGTAAAAGCCCAGAGGCAAAAGGTAGATGAGATAATTTAAGAAAAGCTGGCTAGAAACAAGCTAAGCTAAGGTCGGGCATTTATGAGTAAGGATAAGTCTCCCTGTACTTATTTGGGAGCTGGGTGCGAGCCCCCAGAGGGGAAAGAGTTAAAAAAAACTGTTCTGTTGCTCTTCCAGAGGTCCTGAGTTCAATTTCCAGCACCCACATGGTGGCTCACAGCCTGGCATGCATTTGTATATATGAACAGAACACTCATATATAAAAATAAATAAATGAATGGACGAATGAATGAATGAGTAAGCAAACAAACGAATGAATGCATATGCTACAAGTCTGGTTAAGTTCTTAGTAATTTCTGCTATGTTTCTTTGCATTCACTTTAAAATTTCTTCTTAAATATTTTCGGATGAATCTATCACTACCAAACAAACAAGGAAAATAAATGATGAACTGCAGATATTTTTTTTCTTTTCAGAACATACTTTCATCTTTCTAACTAAAATTTAACCAGGCATGTTGGCTCATACCTGTAATTCAAACACTCAGGAGACTGGGGCAGGAGGCTTGCCATGAATTCAAGGCTGGACTGAACTATACATAATGAGTTCCTGGGTTATAGTAAAATATTAAAAAACCAAAACCAACCAGCTAAACAAACAACAATTCAAATATTATCTAAATACTATTTGGCTCATGGCCCAATTAGACATTTGTTTTCTATTATACTGAGCTAACTAATAATTCTATCCTTCTATTCCAGGAAGCTTTTTCTGATGTTAAAATAATAAAACTGAAGGAAATTCCTCACATACATATGTATTATTTTTACTTATTCATTTATTTGATGGTTGTGTGTGGGGAACATGTATATGGGCATGTTTGTGCCATGGCATGGGTGTGTGGTGGTCAGGACAACTAAGTAGAGCCAGTTCTCTTCGGGTTCTGTGAATAAACCTTTAACCACAGTCATCTCATGGGCCAGTCTTCAGACATTACAAAATAAAATGAGTACCTTCACCGTTGGAAACCCTTGCTGTGTTCTATCTTTTACTGAGCCTCGGCTGCCCTCTGTCAGGTACCGAGCTCGGTGCTGGGTTTCAGGCTGTACAACTATCTTCAGCTCCTTCCCCTCACTTTTAACAGGATACTGTCCACACAACATAGGGCTCTTCTTTACTCCAGCTCCCTTTTGGTTGTCCAATGTTCTGAGAAACCAAAGCACAACATGGGAAGAAAATATCAGAAACAGTTTTCTACGAAAGCTACTTAAAGGAAGAAACAGATGGGCGATAACATAGAAAATAACTGTTTAGATTATTGATAAAATAGAATACACTCTAAAGGAAGAAACATCCTATATAACCAAAGTATCTTTAAAATATTTTTGAGCCAAGTATAACTAAATGCCATGAAAAAGAAAGCTGGAAAGGGAAATGAAAAAAAAACTGTTGGGTGATAGAAGGAAAACAATGCAATAATTTGTTTTCACACTACAATTCAGTTAAAATGAAATGTAAAAATCACACATGAATTTTATATAAAACTAAAGATCATGATTACTTTTTAAATCAGATTTGCAAAGCAAAAAGAAAAAAGGGAATGGTAAGAACTACTAAACCAGCATACAGAAGGCCTAAAAGACTGACAATGGAGGTATATGTTAATCATTAATCAGAAATATCTTTTTGAATCTCTCAGTAAATCAAAATGAGAAATTTATAATAAAAAAAAGTGATTCAACTTTTATTGGGAAATGAGGTTTACTTTAATAAGTGTGAATTTTCAGATTATTTTTATCTGTGACTGGTTAAGTGGTAAAAGCTCAAAAAAAATCTTATCTGAACTCTATCTATAGCAAAGGTAATTTTACTTTTTTTTTTTTAATTGTGGAAGCTTTGTTTTGTAGGGTTTTTTTTTTTTTTCTTGGTACCTGGAGGGACAGCTATGGGTGCTAGGAACCGAACTCTTATATTTTTTGGTTGTGAGCCTACCCTTTAACGGCTGAGCCATCCCTCCAGGCCTGTTTTGTAGGTTTTTGAGACAGGATCTCAGATATATCCCAGGCTGTCTTCAAGCTGCTCAATAGTTGAGGCTCTGCTGCCCCACCTACCTCAGGCACATGCCTGGTTCTAAGACTATTTTAAGCATTTTTTTGTTTATTATGTAATAGCCAAATTTGTGATTAGGGCTTCTAATGAAGTAGCTAATGCAATGCAAATACCTGATAAAAATAAGCAGAATAAAATCATACACACACACAACACTGCCTACCCCCTCCAAGAAACTTGAAGTAGATTTAAAATCATCCATGTATGTTCTTGAAAAGTCAGGGCCTGTCATTCTTTTTCACTCACAATAAAGTAACTGGGTCCCAAGAAGAATAATATGATTTTTAAAACAAAGAACAGCTTTAAACCTGACCCCATACTTTACCAATCCAGGTAAACCAAGCTGTTGTTCAACAGTAAGAACAAAGGAAAAGAAGGCAGTCACTCACTAAACAAACTACCCAGGAAAGGGGCAGAAGTGTGGGGGAAAGGATAGCACTGATCCAGAATTCAGTAGCAAGGGAAACTTCACATAGGATGTTTGCTGATGAAGGCAAACAGGAAGAAGAAATGGACAAGGAAAGCAAAGGGGAAAAGGAGCTTCTATAATAAGGAGATGGGCAAGACCAGACCTAAACTGGACAAGAAATGCCATTCACGTAAGTCTGACACAACTAAGTCAAAGATTACCTGTATATGTAAGTCATTTTAAAAGCCCTAGAGGAATGAATCTATGAATAAAAGTACCAGTCTAAAGCCAGAACAATGGGGGCAAGAAATTTGTTTGTTTGTTTGTTTGTTTGTTTGTTTGTTTTAGAGTTCTGAGTGAATTCAAATGTTTGGTTTGAAGAGTATACAATGTTTTAAACACAAGATTCTATAATAATCTGTTTGTATTCATCTTATTACCAAAGGGGAAAAGGTATAGTGAAACTATGAAAATATATCCCACACATTATATATATATATGTATATATATATGATATATGTCATATCATATATATACATATATATAAGAACTAAAAGAAATAGCGTAATAATAACAGCAGTTTACATGAGTGACTGAATTATAGGTTATTTACTTACTTTCTTGTATTTTTCAAATATTTATAGTTCATATATATTAGTCATAATAAATAATGATAAATTTTAGACTGAAATACTAAGAAAATTTGAATGATGACAACTAATTTTGTCAGCTGTGCTTTTTATATTTATACCAGTCAAGCTAGTATTCTAAAAGTAAATAACAATGATTCCTGTAAAGTATCTATATTTGTTGAATTAATATGTATGTACTAAAAAATTAAATATTTAAATACACACACACTAAAAAAAACACAAGTAATATAAAAATTTCTAAAATACTGAAAAAGGTTCTGCTTGCCTGCCTTCCTTCCTTCCTTCCTTCCTTTTTTTGAGAGAGAGCTCTAACTACACAGCCCAAACTGGTCTTGAACTCACTACAAGTCAGGCTGGTCTCCCTCTCAAAACCCCACTACCTCAGCCTCCCTTTTGCTGGGTTTTCACAAATTTACCACCTACAATGCCTGGCCCAGAAATTATATTCTAAAATTCTCTTTATTCTCTAGGTTTAAATGAAAAAAATGGAAAACATGTATATTTATATCTACAGACACATTAAAACAATGAAAAGATCAACTAATTCTTAGAAGAGTAGCAATTCAATTTGTAAATTGTTAAGGTAAAACATTAGAAAAAGGAAGCAAGCAGCAATTCATTACATGAGGGATTAGTTGATTGATTTTTGCAGGCTAGACATCAAAGCCAGGTGACATCTAAATGACAACTACCACAGACAATGTCATGTGTCATGTTCTACATAGAAGTCTTAGAATGACATTCAGGTCCTTCGTGCTAGATATTCCTACAGGTTGCTATGTTATAAAAATAATCTTCACTATAAAAAGGCCTAAAATGACTTTCAAATGCACATGATATACCTAGACTTCTAGAACTTTAGATGAAACTGTGCTGTTGATTCTCAGGACAGTAGTTGAAAAATTTAAGAATGATATGGTCAGCAATATTTACAAACAAGCAACTTTTTGAAAACAGATATTTCCTAATAAGCTCTAATTTTTTAGTTGTAAAAGTAATTGTCTTTCTATCCATCAGTTATCAAGACTTCCGGCATCATGAAGATAAATAAACTTCTATATGCAGCACACTTGAAAGTTCATTTAATAAATATTTAGCATTACATAAACTGCAAATTCTTGTCACCTCATATTGAAGACTATGTTACTTATCTCTCAGAGCATTTCAAGTTTCATGTTTCTAATATCTTTCTCATCATTGGAAAAATAGGCAATTAGCTCCAACTACAGATTAAGAATGGTTGTCCATGTATTTTACATTTAGTTTCGTCTTTTCCTCAAAATATTTCTTATAAATTCAATTTTTAAACTTCTTCATCATTTCCACATACTATTGTCAAATAATTTTCCATTACCTAAGAAGATGGGCATTTCTTCTGCTGCTTGATGGAGTTTCTGCTTCATGAATTATTTCATAAAAGGTTTGTCTTGACCAATGTCACTATACTTTCCCTGGTAACCTCAAATCATTTCTAAGATATATCTATCATACAAAAGCAGAAGCAGAAAAAAGCAGGTCAGGAAATCTCTTCAACCAGCAACAGTAAATCACTGTTTGATGCTGGCCATCCCCAAGTCCAAACTTTACTGTTCTTCACTGGTAATTTTAATAATTATTTCAGTACAAATAGGAAAGTATCTTTCTCTGAAAATTTATAAAGACTTTTTCCACTGCAGCCCAAATAAGCACACATGCATTTCCTGACATCCACACAACTTTCAGATCTGTACCATCAGTCACACTTCCTCACTTGACTCGGGGTGTTCATCATGTTTCAGAGCCTTAACCTACATTTTATAGTTGAGTAAATACTCCTTTTTCAAGTTCTGGACTATTAAAATGTGACATACTAGGAATGGCCACATTATCTTGTTTGCTTTTGGAAATTGCCTAATCTAGACTTTTTGAAACTGTAAATCATTTAAATTATTTAATTCTAAAGAAGTTTTAAATAAAAGTATAAAGGAAAAAAGTATGTTAATTTTTTTCAAATTAATTTTCAGGCTAGACTATCAGGAAATGAGTTTTATTACGGGTTTTCAAACATGATGAGTATAGACTTAACTAATTCTTGCTTAAATGACTTACGAATTTATAATGCACACAGGGAATTATTTGCGGACATGTTTAATATTTACTACAACAAATATAATACTGAGCTGGATTTTTAATGTAACAGATCAAAGATGTCATCACAGAGTACGCCAATCTAACATTTCAGACTTTTTTAATTTTTTGCGGTAAGCAAGGATTCCAAGCGATCCTAGGTCACCTAAGGAATCACAGTCTGCCTCCTTAAAAACTAGTGAGTTAAACTGTACTGAATACACTGTAGGAAATTTTAATCTAACAACTAAATATTACAATTAAAACACTACAGGAATCCTAAAGTAAATCATGCTAATTTAGATTATACCATGGAATATTCTGTAATATAACCATTTAAATATATTTGGTGAGCAGTGCACCAAAGGCACAGATGAAAGAAAAAGCTCAAATATGTATCCACGATCCCGTTTCATCGTCCTTCAAGAAAGAAACAGAATCCAGAGGGCAGTAAGATAATTTTTTTTAAAAAAGTCCTGAACTAGAAAAATGTATCAAAGGAAAAAAAGATTCAAACAGAGGCACCTACATGAGAATTGAGTTATCTTTGTTTTTTTCTTGTTTTCATCAAGTAAAGATGAAAAACAAAAATAAAACGTAAAATTCTTTGAAAAAGATAATGGAATGAACCATATGAAATAAACTGCTAAAAGAACAAATTAGCTTCTGGAGAACATTTAAATGTTTTAGCTAGCATCATTACACTGCTGCTTATTTCTTTTAAAGTAAGCCCATTTGAAGTTTAAGTTATTTCAAAACAGGTTATCTTTTCTACTACTCCTAAACATAACCCAGAACAAAATTCCTTTGCTATAATCTACAGCTATTTTCAAATTATTTTTTTCTAGTAAAATTTATTTTAAGTTGAAAATTTCATGTACTTCAAGGATAAAAATTAGCATTTTTTGCTTTATATGCAAATTTGAACTGAGAATTAAGAAAATTTGGGAATGATTTACTGTTGTTTTGCATAATGTTGATAGAACTTTAAAAAATGTGGATACCAACCCATTTCCAGCTTTTGAGTTGCCTTTGTTGTCCGTGGTAAGCTGAGAAAGCACATAGTGAGGTGCTTTGGCACTGTCGGCATCAAATATATCCATATTAGATTCTTCACAATCTCGTCGTTTGACCCCCGGCCTCTGCTTTGGATTTCGTTTTCGTGATTTACGAGGTACCTCAGTGTTATCATTGTAGGAACTGGTGCTCATGTTACTGAAGTTGGAGGGGGAATCCTCCATCCACATACTGCAGCTCTGCTCAGATTCCAATCCACACCCCTCATCCTGGCAGGACATCCGACTGTTATCCAGCAAGTCCTCAGGTGGTGGTGAGATGTACAACACTGTGTGCCTCTTCGGGGTTGATGGATGCTGCTGAACTGTGTTACCGGTTAACTGCTTTTCACTTACCCCTCTGTTACTTACCCCCACGGCTGAGGAGCAGCTCTCCACTTGCATAGCCTTGCTGTCGGTGACTGAGGTAGAATAAATGGTAGGGCTGGAAGAGGTGGTAAAGGAGCTGCAAGCACCGCCCATGGAGGAAGAGGAGGGAGCTGAAGAAGCATCTGCAGTGTACAATTCAAGAGTAAATACACTATACATGTTTTCACCTATGCTGGCTAGCAGTCCCAATGAAAATGTGATTTGTGAAGTGATTGTTTTCCCCAAACAAATAATTGGAATTTGGTTAAGTTTTAGAATATAAATGCTTTAAGCAATACAAAGCCTAAGAAATACAATTTTTTAAAAATGCCCAAATAGCATTTTTACTTTTGTTATAATTGATAAATTTTTAAAAATCTAATTTAGTGTTTTAAGCTGTAAAGCCAGAATAAAGCTTTTATTGCCTCAGCTGAATGTTCTGTTGAATTTTAATCATTAAAGTAATACAGAAAACCCCAATGTGAAATATATATGTTTGTGGTCCACATTCAATGCCAATTAAATAATTCATTACAGAATTTGAAAAGTGGGACTGTGCTTAGCCACAAAATATTAAAATAAGTTTCTAACCTATGAAGCAGAGAACTACAGGTCATTTTTAATGCAGACACTCCCTGCTTCAGAGGCAAATCCTGGAATAAAAATATGAGAAAATAAATGAGAAAAGAGCTGCTGATTATTCCAGATACCAATTATAAAATGAAAAATAAATAGAGAAAAAAAGATAATCAACTGAACTGGAGGCAAAATGGAACTGGTACCATTACTATAGCTGTAAAATCCATGAGAGGTGAGGAAGACTTAATGGGAACATGCTTGGTTGTAGAAGATAAACAGAGAATCTCAAAGATAAAAATAGCACATCAAAACCAAGAGTAACAAAAAAATCCATCCTTTAAGAATGAATAAAAAGCAGCAGAGGGTGGCTACTAGATGGGCTTTTCCTAAAGTCTCATGTGCTCAAAAATTAGCTCCTTACGTATTAGCTCTCTTTTAAAAAGGCCTGCTAATTATATATGGTAGTGAATAGTAAATCTTACTGTCTAAAGTTTAACAAAAAAAATTAAGCATGAAAATTTCTAAAACACCATAATTCCTATAAAAATATTTTCAATTATTTATCAAGTATGCATAGCAAAAAAAAGCAGATTTACATAAATATCTGCAGAAAAGACTGTGTGGCAACTAGCAGTAGTGCTGGCAACACTGCTGCTCTAACCCTTAGCAGCATAAACTCAGACACATTAACACTGCTTAGGCTGGACGTTACCTGCAATTTCAAAAATACTATTTTATTGTGTACAAGACATAATTGAAGGCATAAAGAAAAATTGGTAATGTGCTTGAATTTGTGTCTGTAGCCATTTATGCCAGTTTTAAAACTGTACAATAAAAATTTAAATGTGATGTACCATTATTTAAATTGATGTACCAGTATTGAAATCACAATATTCATTGCCAATTCAGTGCTACAATGTAAGAAAGTCAATGTTTAGATAATAAAAAGCTGTGCTAGTAAATTAACTGAACTCAACTGAAAACACATATCAAAACATGTAAATTACATGAAAGAATGACAACCACCCCCAAATTTTCCATTGTTGTCAAGGTTGAAGAGCACAGTCATGTTAGCCATCTGTAATGTGATCTATGTAATGCCACACTCAAAATTTTTCTCCCAACTACCATAAGTCAAAGAACCTGAAGGAGTAGATGACACCAGTTCCACTTTTTAGTTTGTATCCTTGTCAAATGCAGCAGCTGAAACTAGAAAATTCAGTCACTTTTAAACTGCATTCCAATTTAAAGAAAAATTTATCAATTTTATATCATGCATTAATGCAATGTTTTCTTAGTATATAAATATTCCTAAAGATCTGTAAAAACTAGATGCTAATGTCAATGACAATTTAGAAGCTGATTTGTAGCCACTTTGGGTTTAAAATTTTTTCCTTTTTTTTTTTCCTTTGGAAAATGCTATGATTCTCATTTTGGACAAAACAAGAAAGATATATCTAATGTTCCTCCATCTGTTCCAACTATTAGCTATAAATGAATCTAAACTTTGTGATAGTTGTGTCTATATTCTTGATTTTCAGAGAAACACTAGAAGACAGCATGCACTATTTGCAATGGATGACACAAAGCAGCATGAATGTTGTGAACTTATATTTCTAACGCACTTCCCCACTCCCCCTTTCTGAGTTTAACTTTCATGCAACACAAGAATGCAAAATACAAGCATTCGTGTCAAGGACAAAGGGAAAGTATATATGTGCAAAGTCACAATGAAGTCAACAGCAAATTATATACAGTTGTGATATTCTGATATATTTGTTTTGTTTTGATCCAGGGTTCCTGGCTTACAACTCCTAGCAACTTCCTACATTAAATAGAGCAATAAGCATCTGTGGTTAAAGTTTTGGCTTTTCACTTCAAAATGATAAAGATAAAAGATGGGTTTTGTTTGCTTGGTGCTTTTCTTGACAGCATCTCTCTTGTCTTTTTAGTTTTAATTTATAACAAACACCTTTCAACCGCCTGAGACTGTATTAATAATGTGATTTGGAGAAAGTTGCTAAATGATATAAGATGGGAGGAGAGGCTGGTTGCCACAAGAATAAACTATGTCCTCAAAGGGTTAGTGCTCACCCATCCTCCAACCTCCAGGTAGCAGAAGGCCTGGGGGTTAGAGTAATAAACAACAGTCAAAAACTTAGTCAATCCTATTTACATAATGGAAGTCTCTTCAAATTTTTTTTTCTATATAAAAATTCAAACAGACTTAATTCAGATATCCAGGAAAGTGAACAAGAACACACCATGTCCCAAGAAAGAGGCATGGTCAAACTCCCACTTGAGACTGAGGCTTCTAGTCCTATGCATCAACTCATTGTCTATTCATTTCTCTGCTTTAAAATACTTTTTATAGTCGAGTGGTGGTGGTGCACACCTTTAATCCTAGCACTTGGGAGGCAGCGGCACATGGATGTCTGTGGGTTCCAGGTCAGCCTGGTCTACAAGAGCTAGTTCTAGGAGAGCCAGGGTTGTTAAAAAGAGAAACCCTCTCTCGAAAAACCAAAACTCTTTATAATGAATTAGTAAATGTTTCCTGAGTTCGGAGTTACTGTACTAGTAAATTAATTAAACTCAACCTGTGGATCATGGGAAGTTCAATTATAAGCAATCAGATCAATACTGAATTCTATTAAGTTAAATTGGCAAACAAGCTGGGTTGGAGATTAAAAAGAATTTAGTATCTGAAATGTAAAATGCTTAGATGCATTACAGCAGCAGTGTCTGATACAGACAAGCCACTGAGAGCTTATAGAGAACTATCTGTCCCTTTCCCCCAGAGAGCACTACAACATCATTTCCTAAAAATATATGTAAGACATATATTACATATTACTTTATATGTATGTTACAATTACATATATTACTTATTTACATATTAGCATTAAAATACCATGAAAAAATCCATTGCATTATTTCATTAAAATGTAAAGATAAAAACAATAACAAGGACATTTTATATTTCTAAACACTACTAGCCTGTCAATTTCAAGCATTCCCAGAAAAGTAATACAGAATATTTCTGGGAATACTATAAACATGCAATCACTCAAAAAATTAATTGGAGCTGGGCCGTGGTGGTGCATGCCTTTAATCATAGCACAGAGGGCAGAGGCAGGCAGATTTCTGTTGAGTTCAAGGCCAGCCTGGTCTATAAGAACTAGCTCCAGAACAAGCACCAAAGCTACACAGTGAAACCCTATCTCTAAAAACCAAAATCAAAACAAAACAAAAAAAAATTAATTGGTATTCTACAGAACTGAAGTGACAATAAAAGCCTTGCTTCTTTATATATACATATTTTTTCCAATTCGTTTTTTCATTGATGGGAGGTGATTTGTCTGAAGCAGTCTTACTATGTAACTCTGGCTGGCCTGGAACTCACAGAGACCTGCCAGCTGCTGCCTCTTCAGTGCTGTGATTAAGCGAATGTGCTCCGCTTTTTTTTTTTTTTTGAGTTAGGGTCTTGCTATGTCGCCCAGGTTAGCCTTGTATTCACAGCCCTCTTCTTGCTGCATCCTCCTGAGTGCTGAGGTTGCAGCTGTGTACTACCACCCTAGCCTGGGATACTCATTTTTATTTGTTCCTGTGAACAAAATACGGTGATTACTTCCCTGATCTGTTTTCAGTACAAACCCTTTTGTATGGTTGGCTGACTGGCTGGCTGGTTAGTAGGTTGGTTTTTCAAGACAGGGTTTCTCTGTATAACAGTTTTGGCTATCTTGAAACTTGGTAGATCGAAATGGCCTAGAACTCACAGAGATCCACCTGCCTCTGCCTCCCAAGTGCTGGGATTAAAAATGCATGCCTCCGGGGGCTGGAGATGGCTCAGTGGTTAAGAGCATTGCCTGCTCTTCCAAAGGTCCTGAGTTCAATTCCCGGCAACCACATGGTGGCTCACAACCATCTGTAATGAGGTCTGGTGCCCTCTTCTGGCCTGCAGAATCCACAAATATACAGAATATTATATACATAATAAATAAATAAATATTTTTAAAAAAATGCATGCCTCCACTGCCCAGCAGCAAAGACCCTATTTTTTAACGGTTAGAATTGTTCAGTCTTTGTTAAATTGCTGCATATTAAAAAATATAGAGCCCCCCCAAATAAAAATGTTTTAATAAATGCTTTTTTTCTCTTTTAAGAGATTTTTTTATTGTATATGTTAAGAGATTTATTTTTATTATATGTGTATAGGTGTTTTGCCTGTATGAATGTCATTGTACTGTATGCTTGCAGTGACCACAAAGGTCAAAAGAAGAGGGCACTGGGTTGCACGAGACTACAGTTACAGACTACTGTGAGTCACCATGTGAGTACTGGGACCCAAACCCTGGTCCCCAGAAAAGCACTTTTACTGCCATACAAAGCAAAATAGGTATAATGTATTTCCATGATTAATTATACAATTTATTTGTTCCTCAAGTTTCTTACCTATCTTTTAGAAACATGGAAATTTTCCTGAACTCATTGAATCAACTAAGTAGCATGTTAATATATTTTCATTTTCTTTTGCGAAATAACTATTTTTGAACTTAGCCTAATT